AACCTATTATATGAAAAGCTGAGTAAGTACTTGAGCTTATCCTGGCCATTTATCCCACGCAGAGCTGAAGCTGCTGTCTGTTCCTAATTTACAGCTGATTGTTTATTAACCTATAAAGCCAAAAGGGCAACAGTGGTTTTCTTTTTTCTTTCAATCCAGAATGATCTGCATCTTTTGCTTCAGTTTCTGATAGATAAGAAATTAATCTTTTGAATTAGCTGAGGGAAAGGCATAGCTTTTTGTTGTCTTTCAGGAAGAAAATAGTTATCCCCATCATTTTACTCTAGATGTATTCTTCAGTTAGATAGTTATTGCGTGGTATGTTCTCACCAGCTTCCTGAAGTGGAACCYAGACTTCCAAGGACTCTCTGTGAATCTGTCTGGCTACAAGCCTTAAAAGATAAGAATAAACAAAGGTTAGGAACAAAAAGTGAAACAAAGTTTTWGAGTTTTTGTTACTCCTCCGTTTCTGTACCTGTGTTGAAATTCCTTTTTCTTCACAGGGAAATTCTTTGTTGTGAAATTTTTGTCAAAAGACCTATAAAAGTAGAAAAAAATTAATTTGATTGGTRAAGACCTGCTACCAAATACAAATCGAGGAAATTTTTTTAACTTTTAGGCCAGCACTTGTGTACTTTATTCAGCAGTTAGGCATGCTTTGAATAAACCGTTCTCTGTTTCAAAACAGAAATACAAGTCCAAAATCATTTTCAGCGTCTTTCTTTTCACATATAGTGTTGTTCCATTGTTTTGTCATCTCATGATATACAGATTTGTAGATACAACTGGTGAGAACATCAAGGCAGTAGAGCAAGTGAGCATTCCAAAGTTGTGATATATTGGAAGGATTTCAGTGTTTCAGTCTGAAGAAGGGAAGAGCTCAATGACAGAAATTAACTCCTGGGTGAAAAAATTGATTTCACAAAAGGCTGGGTAATTCCCTTGGTTGTGTACAGTACCCTTTCTGATGTTGAGTTATTCTTGGTGCTGAACTCAGGCTTATGACTGGAATAAACTTTCTTCCAAAAAAAGACACCTAAGATCTTGCAAAATGTTAGAAATCCTTACATTTAACTCGTGAAAGTGTCATCTCCGTTAGCAGTCTGCAGAAAGTGGGGGGGTTTATTTACTTTGCCTCCATTTCCAGACTCATAGAACTTTATAAAAATAAAAACACCAAAACACACATAAAAAAAGAGAAACCTATAAAAACTTCAACATCAACTCCATTGCCAACTCCATTGTAAAACTCAGAGGAGYTTCAGCTGCTGTGATTTGCTTCCATATCAAGTCAGTCTATTATGTTGGTATATTCTCACCATCTTCCTGAAATGGAGCTGAGACTTCCAGGGTTGTCTTGTCTTGAAGTACTAGAAGTCTTGAAGGGTAAGAATAAATAAAGGTTATGAATGTAAACTAACRATCAGTGTAAATRAATGWCTTGTGTRTATTTTTCCTCCTCTCTGTGAGARAATTTTTTCTTYTGGGTTTTACCTGAAAAAGGCTCAGTTAGATTCAAGTCCARTTACGTAATTACCCAGTCGATGAGCCTCTGAATTTTAGCTATGTGCTGAGCACTTAAAGATGTTAAAAATGCAGTGGTGTAAAAGCCCCCTGGAATTGTTTATAGTGTTCTTGCCATTAGGAATGCAGTAGCTGAACTTTTCCGTATTTGGTCAAAGGATAGGATTGTGTGTTCTGTGGGGAGCATTGAATGTGCACTATTCAGTTGAAGGAATTAATACTGGAGAGAGATCTAAGAAATTTGTAATCACAAGCTTGGTCTGTGAAGGTAAGCAAGAGCAGCAGCAAAACAGCTTGTATGTGTGCTGGGTCAGATRCATCAGTTTCGGGTATGTGGCAGCATTGTCTGAATTGAGAATTTAGTAAGGCTCTGCTGTTGTTTTTGTGGAGGGGAATCAAGCCTTACCAAAGCATGAGAGATTCTCTGAAGGCGTCTGAATGTGTGTGACTGTAACGTATCTTGTTAGCACTGTAAAATACTTTCTCCTGAATTAGGAAGCAGCAGGTGGAGTTCTGTCATTGATTGTCTCTGCAGATACAGTGACTTGGTAAACAGAATTGTTAAAGATACCTGTGGAGAGATCAGGAAAGGAAGGGGAAAACTGAACAGTGTTTTTCTTCCTCGGGCAGTGTGGACTTCTGACTTCTATACAACATTGTTTTCATGTTCCTATGGGATCTTGTAGTTGTGGAAGAGAAAGATCAGTGAAATAGAAGTGAGGTGTGGTTTTACAGATAACTTCGAAAAAGTGTCACCTGCCAAAAATCCCACATAACTTCTTTTTTTTAACCAGGCATTGAGGTAATAAAACCATTTTCTGAGAGTATTAGTTTAAAAGAAAARTGGTTTGTAGAAGTGAAGTAGTTGTTGAAACTAGGGAAGTTGGAAAGTTTTCTGTGTCTGGACTATGTCAGATGGATTTTAAATAGTATTCTGTCCCTTGTCTTTCTCTTTTTGAAGGAAAAAATTGTTACTCCTTGGATAAAGGATTTTCTCTTACTGCTCAGGATGCATTACTATATGATTAGGTGCTAGAAATAACTGTCATGTAGCCCATGCTATTTCGTAATTTTAAAAGGATACTTCAAAGCAGACTAAAGATGACAACATCTACTTACTTAGGAAAGGCAACTTCATCTTCTTTTAATCTTTTTCTTTGTAGTGTATAGGACTGAACTAGGAATACTTGAAAACCAAACATTTTTCTGTATTTTTATGTTCATGGCCTATATGTGTCAATTTGTAATGCTTCTGTAATTTATTCCCTAGGGGAAAAAAATAAGTAAAGGATGGGAATGCACAGTGCTTTTTTCCCTGCTTTAACATATGTGTTTGTGTGTTTATGTAACTGAATAATAATAGAGGACTTGTATAAGCTTACTTCTCCATTTACTTTTCCAGAGTATATATTGCATATTGACTTTAATTGGTTTGGTTCTATGAGATTTCCTTAAATATCAAGAGTATTTGTGGACAAACAAATGAGGTTATGACCTGAGCATCTCTGCAGCTGTTTKTACCACCTACTTTAACATGGTGCTGCTAGAACAAATGACTTCTTTCAAGGTTTCTCTCCATAAAACTGCTCTGACCGGGGTGTTCTCCCTCAGAGGGGCTGTACAAGTTTGTGTGGAGAAGGGTGTGATCTGGGTGTAAATGCATCTTTCCCTCTTCATTTTTTTTAGCTGGTTACATACTCATGAACTTTATGGGAGGGTTTGTTCCCTCTGCTATSTATAGAAGAAATAGGTGGTTATAATTTCATCTTTCTCTTCTGGCTGCCACTGGCAATTGGGACGGATGGTGTTGGAGATACACATGTAGAAATGTGTTCTGTACGGCATCTCTTTACAGCATCCTTGAGCTAAGGCAGTCAGAATCTGATAGATGTTCTTRTATCATGCTGCAGATACTGTGGCCAAATTGTCTGATTTTACACTAATGAGMCACAAAAGTATGTGAGAGATCTTGTTCTGCATAGCAGTGTTGAGATCTAGTAAGTTGCCATCAAATTTGTAATAGTAGTGCACTCTCACACTTCCAAACTGCATATGTATGCAAACACAGCAGACATAATTTGCTTCRCTATAATTAGGAGATTAGGGATTGTAAACCATGAAGTGTCTTTTTAAAAGGARTGCAGCCACCAAGAATTTGATTTATCAAAAATTCCTAGCTTTTTGTTCTCATTGACCACTCARCCTCTTAAATGCTTTTTCTTTATGGTGTTTATTTGTTCTGTAGTTAGTAAAATATACGTCGTCTCTGTGTGAGGCCTCCATTTCAGCTGCACTCTGCCAATTAGGGAGGATATTCTGCCATTTATCTGCTTGGACTCACTCTGAAAGAGACACTTGTTCCCAAGTACTCATTTACCATAAGGGATTATGATTTTCCTCCCAAGAAGGAAATGTTCAGCTGGACTGATTCTCTTCATGTGGTTAATATGTTTTGTCATATTAGCTTCCTGATGCAATTATAGAAGATACTTGGAGGATTCTGCCAAGCTTCACCTTGTACTTGGAGTTGTAGGCTTGTAGTGTAGCCTGGGCTTAATGACCTTGTTCTTTGATTTAGTAGAAAACTTGAGTAAATTTCTTTTAAAAAGGGGCTTTCTTGGTTATCTGRGTTTTTGGAGGAAAGCAAAATCCAGACAGTTTTCAAGTTGTTTTCTTGCTTGTAGTKGTATTAGTCTCTACCCAAGATCATAATGACATTTTCAGCCATATACCAGTGTAAAACGAGCAGATTATCTGTCAGTATTTTTCCCTGGTCCTTTTGCTGAGCATCTTTGGTTGTCAYGTAAGAATAGTTGCATCATGAGTGGTCTGAAAACAAGGTCAGTGAAGTGCAGAWTCTGCTTCAATACAGATCCTCCTCACTGTGTCTTTTTTTTTTCATTGTTGAAGTTCTTGTAACCTTAAGACTAAGAAAGTAGTACCTAATATTTTTTAGTTCCATGTGAGAGTACTGGRAAAGACAACAAACAACCCTCGAACTTACTTGAGGTAACATATGTTAAGGTGAAAATTCATCCTGAGCAATTCCATTTAGTGATTAATAGCTCTTGCTTTGGTAAATAATTTGAAATTCTGTGCTTGTCTTAGAACGTTTTTATTATCAGGGTCTCAGAATTTAATGCAAATAACTGCAAGGGGATTGTTACATGAAACATGGTTCCAGTTAGACACAAAAATAAAAATTATGAAAYCATTAAATTTGTCAAATTGGCAATTGCTTGGGTTTTTGGGAAAAAATTGCTTCATTTTTGGGAAAGAAATGGTCAGTTTTTCTTACGTTGAACTCAGAGTTCAAGGTCTTGTGTTTCTACACACATACAATTCTACACAAAAATTCAGGATTTTTTAAAGTTGTATTAAGTGTTTGAAAGTAGGTATGGTGAAAGATGTTTATGCCAGTTTTAAAACCTTCATGCATGTTACATCCTCTTTAACAGTATTTTACATTTATTTAGGTTCCTCTAAAGAAGGAGGAGCTGGAGCTGTGGATGAGGATGATTTTATTAAGGCATTTACAGATGTTCCTACTGTACAGGTAAGATGCTCTCTATATCCATGTTTCTATTCAGAAATATGTTATTTGCAATAATGTGTTAGCCTGCTTTGAAAACTTACCTAATTTTACAGTGTTCTAAGCAAGCATCATTACTTCCCTTTCTTACTGATGGTAGAATCTGCATGGAAAGCTCTTTATTCTTCCAGTTAGTTACCAGAAAAAGTGCCACATTTTCTATACTGTCCTTCTAATCATTACCACATTGTGTTTTGGCTAAAATTCCTTATTGCTTTTTTTTAAACTTTTCTGGGGAGCTGGAGAAAATAATTATGTTTTAATAAGAAAAAGATTAACATGACATTTGGAAAATTTGGGGCTGCCATTTCAACAGGTAATCAAGGAGTAATAATACAGGCAAATAATTAAAAAAGCAAGGATTGTGTTTTCAAATGTGCCTAAATTGTAATGATGTGTCTGGTATACATGTCCTCTTTTAAACAGTATTTTAAAAAAAAATATAGTGCCCTATTTTCATACTAATGAACTTGTTGGATTCTGAGTTCTTAATTAAAAGAWCAGATTTTAATTTCTATTCTTTAACTGTGGGAATTGTATGTATTTGGTATTTTCACATAGTTGAGTCATTTAATATGCGTGTAGCTTACAAGGCCTGTTTTGAATAAGTTTTCCTTGGGCAGCTGAGGTGTTGAACGCAAGCAAAAACTCAATAAGCCGTAGTTCCCAAATGGCAGAAGGATTTTGTAAGATTCTCTTTTCTTGATGTGTATTTTTGTCCTGTTTTTATTTCCCAAGCAGAGTTATTTGTYGGATCTGCTTCTGCAGGCAGCAATACTGTCTGCTTTCATGAAGGAGTGCTCAACCTCCAATGATCCCTGTCACATCAAGGGAGTCTTTGTCTTACACTATAAGAGCTTTATGTTTCTTTGCCTCTTCAGACTGTGTTAAGAATTCTTTGGAGAACAAAAACATGCAGCTCTTAATATTGTTTATCCCTGTTATATWGAACAGAGCCATATTCCAGAGAACAGAGAATGTGATGCTTGTAGTTTAGTGCCTTACTATTTGCAGTCCCAAGCAGTGTTCTGTAATTAGTCAGGCTGGCTGGTAACACTGCAAGAACAAAAGTGGGGTGACGACATGACATGGACCAACACATGTTATTTTCTGTCTGACTGCTGAACGGCTTAGGAAGGAAGGTCATTCTCTAAATTGCAAGAGATGGAGGAAAAGGACACTTGTCGTTAGCCCTTGAGTTGAGATGAGGAGTCAGGAGAGAAATGTGTGACTGTCTCCAAAATTACCTGTTTGTTTCATGGATGAGCATGCAAGAAAAAATGTGATTTTTTTTTAAGCATCCTTAGGAATAATGACTTCCTGTCCAACTTGATGCTTTGTGGACAATCTCTGGTCTTTCAAAAAACCAAAGATCTTTTCAAAAATAAAAAAAACCCCCACAAAATATGCCCCCAAAAAGCAAGGCAGATTCGATGTTCTGAGACCAGTTACTAAGGAAGTTGGAAGTTTCTCTGTTAGACTTGTGAAGAAAGAATGCTTATGACCTGGACTTKGCCAAATTATCCTAAAAGCAAAGGACAGCATGGAGAGAGTTGTTTGTGCATTATTGTACCCATTCCTCTGTCCTCTGTTTTCTTTAACATTTATGGGGTTGAGTAGTGGCTTCACTGAAAGAAGGGAAACTTTATAGAAAACCAGATCCAGTTCTGGATCAAGATTAAGCCTATCTGAATTAATCAAATAAATTGAGGTTACTTACAGCGTGGGTGTGTTGTAAGTCATTCTTGAAATGTTAGATSTGACTTTCCACTAAGCTGTTCATATGACTGCTCAGCTTTTTTAWGGAATGTCATATTGTTTACTTGTACCTAGTTTTTAATCCCCATACTGAAAATACTTTCCATCTGTATAGTTATTATACTTGTTTGTGTTTGAGCTTTTAATTTTTCTGTCTTTGATGTTGCACTTACCCTTAATGATGTGTATGTTGCCCTCTAATGGACAGCAGCAGTTTATGAAGAAGATGGGTRATTTTTAGATGTAGTCTGATGCATCTGTGTGCCAGAAAGAGAAGTACTGCAATGACAGGATTGTGCTTCCATAAAAAACATTACAACCATACAGTTTTTACAACTTCAGCCTTTGCTGAAACTGAAGAAAATTCTGTGTTCGGGTTATTAGGAGTAACTCGCATTAATAGCTAAAATTTGTTTCAAAACAAGTGCAGTTCTCTTTATAGAAGTCTGATGTGGGAACTTGTGAGCAAAAAATGCATTATGTCATTGGCTGAATGAATAATTTAATCTTGGCCTCCTAAAAGTATAATTAATCAAGGCAGGGAAAAAAGAAATTATTAAAATGTTGTCCTTTATTCCTGTGAAATTAAAGTAGGCATGGACAACTTTGAAAATACAGGATTTTTCAGTGGAATTACAATTTTCATTTCATGACAAGATAAAATTATACCATTTATTAAATTCTTCATTGCAATGCCAGTTTGAAAGTCGAGTTCTACTTGTGCCAGATAATTAAAGAAAAAATTAAATTCTTTGCTTAGAAATGCTGATAGACTGGACATAAACCTRTTGTACAGGTTGTTTCTATATTTGTCTATTGTCCAGCATATTTTAGTCTTGCAGCAGTAACWATACTGTGCAGCATGGTCTCTCATGACACAGAGGCTGACAACAAAGAAGTCCTATTTTCGGGATTTTCTCATTAAAACAGCTTGCAAAAGATTTTTGTACCTTGACCAGGACTTCAGACTGAGTTATGAGTGTRCATTGAACTGTCTGTCCTCAGTTAGATGCCACCGAAAGGTGGCATCCTTCTTTCCCCTCTTGTTGCACGTCACTTCTTTATGGTAAGTTCACAGAGAAATTTCTGAATTTCCAGAGAAATTTTTGCCTTTCCTCTTGTAGGATGAGCTTTCTGTATGTTAAAGCTCTCAGCTGAGCAGGAGACAGGTGAAGGTGGATTATGGTGAAGGGAGATCCTGAAGAGGTTGAATCATGTAACGAATTCTGATGACATTAAGTGACACCATAATATGAATCTGCATCTTGATTTAACCAGTGACAAGTCCCTTACACTTTTCAAGAAAAACAAAAATTTTCTTTCATAATTGAAATTAAATTTGATAAAATTTAATTAATTAAGACACATGTAATACTTCCTTTTTTTTACAGACATACTGCTTACAGCATTAGTATTGGAGTAAACTAGGGTTGTGTAACAACTATTAATAGGCTGCCAGCATACATTAAATGGTGATACAAAATATATTAAATATATTAAATGGTGATACAAAACTCATGTTCAGTTTTGTGGGCAGTGGAGTAAAAAGTCTGTTACACTTGAACCATCTCTTTTTATTAAGTCACTTGTTTATTTTAAGTAAGTTATACATCACATGTTTAGTGACTTCCAGTGAAGAAAACAGTAATAATGAACAATAGCTTTCTGGTTTTTATGGATGCAGTCCTGTTTTCTGTATAGAACTGCAAACCTGCTTCCACAGTGTATCCTGGAGGAGCTCACACAGCTGTGTGGTAATAAAAATCTCAGTTTTGTTGGTAAAGWATATTCAGAAATCATTTTCCACCTTATAGTGAAGCTGGTCTGGGTSTACTAATTCACCTTTTCTGGAAAGGTTTGTATCCTGTTTATTTTGGAACCCCAGTATGCAGCTGTTTTAGAACTTTGATGTCTTTCACCTCCTCCATATTCCAGCATGAAATATACACGYCTCCATAACTATATTCTCTTAAAGYGTTGGAAAAAGAAATAGATGTCAATAGAGATAAGGTTCCATATCTTCTTTAAGTTAAATTAATTTGATATGCTCAGGAAACTGGAAAAGTAAACTGCATTTGGAATAACCCTTATAGTAATTTGAAGATGCCTGGAAAATTAAGGTATTTTAAAGAAAATAATCATTCAGCTTAACTGCAGAACAGAACAAAGACATTCCATGATTTYCTCAGAAAGATGAAAGATGCATATATACATGCCAGAACACTATGTTCAGGAGACAAAGCTGTTAAGCAATTCATGCAAAGCAAGGTGTCCTAACCACTGTTTCCTTGTTTCCTCTGTGTGCTCTTGCACATACAAAAATTATGTCTTGTACTTAAATAATGCGGGAGCATCAGGCCCTGCTGTTTAAGTGCTTTATAAGTAATCATGCTGGCCTCTGCTTTCACTGTAGGAAGGTATGACTTTCCTCTGAGTCCTGACCCGTATCTGCCAGCCATGTGTCTTCAGTGTGTCTCAGGTGGCCCCAGGTGCTTCTGTATGGGCCACTGAGTTTTCCTCAATGTGATTATGTAAAAAAACTTCTGATCCAGAAAACTGGATATGTTTAGCTGAAAATAATGATTTTTGAAAAAAAAAACCCTGGCCAGATGAAGTTTCTGCTTTGTAATTTGCTTCATGTCCTCTTAAACTTGTTCTCAATCTGGAGGAAAAAGAGCCTTTACATTTTGTGTATGCCTTGGAAACAGTTAAAAAACACACTGTCACTTGTGTCCAGGAGAGTAGAAGGGAAGTCAGTTTATTTGACAATAACATATTTTCATGAGTAGGTCTTTTGTTCTTTAGAAATCTGTTTTTGTACCTGTGCTGTTATCAATAAAAACATTAATTGATTAATAACCACATAGTGACTGTTGCATGATTAGATGGTTTTGACTTCARTGTTGATTGCCTTACTGTGTAAGAGCTCTGACTAGAGGGGGCTCCTTTTATTTATTTAATGTCTGTGTATGTTAATAARCATTAGTCCTAAGGTTGTAATACATAGAGAAGCTATGGAAGCCTTTAGTTTAGTTTTTCAGAAAAATTTTGATTTTATCATTCTCGCAGCCTGGTTAGTTCCTCAGAGGGTCCCAGCCCCAAAAGAGTTGCAATGAGTTAAAATGTTGGTTGAATTTCATTATGATATGGTGACTRTGGAAATGAAATTTTGTTGCAATAATATTGCAGCAGATTGTCTAAAACCTAAGCTCCTATTGAACTATTTTTTTTTTAATGGAGTTAATGAAATTGCAGATGTGACTACCTCATCACAAAGGTAGTATCTTGAGGAAAATATTGATTCTTCAGCATGTTTTTTAATGAATATTCACTACTATAAGTGATATCCTTACAGATTGGTTTTAAAAGGCCCATTTACAACTCTTACACAGTTCCTTGGAACTTTGGCGGGGGGAAGAATTTCAGGATTAGAATTGTATATTCACTCTTATCAAGCTATTTTGCTTTATCACATTATCTGGGATATTAACAATATAAAATTTCTGATTTTTTTTTTAATCAGATCTATTCTAGTCGAGAACTTGAAGAAACGTTGAACAAAATCAGGGAAATTCTCTCAGATGACAAACATGATTGGGATCAGCGAACTAATGCGGTAAACTCTTTATCTGGTTTCAGGTTTGGGTGGGTGTATCATAAAACATAGGCAAGCAGACATTTTAAATGTTTTTTTTTCTTGAAGTAATTACACCCCAGATAATTGAAGAAATTTTYATTTTGTTTTTTAAACCTTGAATCTGTATACCAAGTAAGTTTGAGCAAATATTTTTAATAAGCTGAAATGCATTTTTGCTGACATTTAAGTGAAGGCTTATCTAAAAGCCATCATCTATGTTTCAGTTTGGCATTTGTGCAAAATAATATATTCTACAGGTTAACTGCTAGCATTAGTACCTCTTGAGGCTAGGAAAAGGTTCATTTGCAGGGTTAAAATGTTTATGTGTATGTAACATGTATATTTTTATCACATTTCTTGGCATCTTCGTATTTRTGAACAGGTGAACAGAATTATGTATTTGTGTTCTGGGTTCTGGGATTTTTTCTTTTTAGCTCTAGAGTTTAAATAACAGATTTTTTTTACAGTTTTTTAAATTACTGCCATATATTTTAAAAATTATGCTTTAAAGGCATACCTACATATTTTTTGCATAGTGAAGCTATTCTTTTGGTTTTATATTGACATGCACATTGGCAGTGTCCTAACCCAAACACATTAATTTTTTTAGCTGAAGAAAGTTCGATCCTTGCTTGTTGCTGGAGCTGCACAGTACGATGGGTTTTTCCAGCATTTACGGCTGTTGGATGGTGCTTTCAAGCTGTCAGCCAAGGATCTCAGATCACAGGTGGTTCGAGAAGCCTGCATTACTGTAGCGTAAGTAGAGTTCATGTGCCTTTGTGTACCTTGCTGGATGTTAGCATGGCCTTGATTTTGAGGTGCTTTATCAGTGTTGCAGGAGAGACGATCTTGTTGGACTGCTGTACGCTGTGACTGATAAAGAGTCAAGTCAGAATCTGAAGCCACAAAGGAAAAGAAATGCTTAAAGGAATTTGCTCTCTTAGGCAGTACATGTAATTGATAATGCTGTAACAGATTGTATGTGAATAACCAGTTACCATCATTGCACTGAGTACTTAGTACAGACTGCTGTGAATAATATTGGGGACTAATCTTAGGATCACTTATGCTTGGGTGATTGGCACAGAACTTTACTGGGCCTTCTTGTAAAGACAACATGAATAGCCCTGTAGTGGTTTGCACACAGAGCATTTTGGTGAGGTAATACCTTTCATGGAACCATGGGATGGGTTTGGCTTGGAAGGCACCGTAAAGATCATCTAGTTCCAACTCCCCTGGCAGTGCAGGGGTACCTTGCACAAGGCCAGATTGCTCAAAGCCCCATCCAGCCTGGCCTTGAACACTTACAGGGTTGTCTCTTTGGGCAAGAGACATGATAATTTTAGAATCTGTGGTTTAGCTGAAATGAGATCTTCACCTTTAAATTCAAGGGCAGAGGAGAAAGCCAGAGTAATCTTTCCCATTTCCATGTTTTCCATTACTTTTTTATCCTCTGGAAAGACATAAAGGTAACCACAGATTTTCAGTGGTCATCTGAAACAGGAACACCACGGAGTTCACCCTTGCTATTGTGGTCTCCTGACTGAACAGACCAAGGGGAAATGTTGAAGCATACAACTGTCCTTTCCAAGGAAATCAAGACTTTGAGAGAAAGTAACCTTTCCTAACATGAAGCCAGGAGTAATGTAAAAGTACTCTGCAAATGTTCTCATCCAGGCAGATGAGACAACCTGGAATTTTCCTTGATCCCTAGAACTTTGATATATTTGATGTGTCATTTGCTGCTGGCTACAAATACTTTTTATATAGTCTCTCTGCAYGAAAAAAGCATTTGGTGTCACCAATGGACAGTTAAATAACTGTGTGTTGTCTGTGTTTTTATRTTTGTTAAAACTGAAAACATAACCTTTAACAGACAAGGGTGTCCATTTTATGTTTGGGTAATTGTGGTGAGTTCAGTAGTTTTGTCTACATTCAAAAAGAAAAGAAAATCTCAATAATTTATGTAAAATTTTAGATTTATGCATCTCAAAATGTGTTAAAAAGCARAAATACAATGATCTTTTATGTGGACATGAGAATTTAGGCTTTCCAATTGTGGTATTTGTTTTTCATTATGAAATGAATTTATTAATGTTTGGCTTCTCAGTGTGTCTGGAAATCATAAAATTGAGAAATTCTGTYGTTTGGAAGGATAAATCTTTAAAATCTGCAGTGAACTTATTTTAAGACTAAGAAATTTATTTGTTAACAAGTTGTATTTTTTTTCTCTAAATAGCCACCTTTCAACTGTTCTGGGAAACAAGTTTGACCATGGCGCTGAAGCAATTGTGCCTACTCTTTTTAACCTGGTTCCCAACAGCGCCAAAGTGATGGCAACCTCTGGGTGTGCAGCCATCAGGTTCATTATTCGGGTAGGTGTTCCTCTCTCACTTTGCCTGCTAGCAGTGTGCAGGTAGTGGCTCTTGGCAGAGATAATACCAATTCTGAAATACAGGGTTGTAAATCATTCATATTGGAGAAGTAATTTTTCTCACAGGAGGACACATATTTATCATTGAAACCAGTTTGTCAGCATTGTCATAGTAAAGATGGAAGAAGAGGTATGAAAAGCAAGTCTGTTTTCACAGTTTTTGGTTTTGTGGGTTTAGGTTGTTTTGCTTAGGGTTTTTTTTTGTAATTGTTAATTGACGAAGACAATTATGTATATGTTATATATATAAATATTTCAAAGGGTAACTAGTAGTACTAGTAGTTTCAAAGCTAGTAGTTAAGAAGCTAGTGAGATTTAAAAAWACCCAAACAACAGAACAAAGCTATTTATTTCTACATATACAGTCCCCACCCCAAAAAAAAGTTTGGAACCATGGAGTTAATAAGAAAATGTTGAAGAAGGCACACATACATGGGTCAGTTTAGAAAGCACAAGTTCATGAAAGACAAATCCAATAAAGACTGGAATCCCCAGGTGTAAGAACTTTCTAAGCTGAGTCCTTAAAGCTATAGAATATAGAACAGAGCAATGCTCATACAAACTGTTTTTTTATTGAATATTCTTTGAGCATCTTCTACAGACTGGTGKCTGAGGCAAGACATTTAGATTTTTGTTACTTTACTGGTATTTTTGAATTTCACGTAAAGCAGGAGGTTGCTTGTAGTTTCTGCATTAAAAGTTGTGGTTTTCTTAATGCTGAGCACTTACTTAATGCTGTTTACTATGATCTCATCAGTGGTTTTAATTTTGTAAGTTGTTGGAAAACCTAAGTGTTTTCATTACTTAGACCTTTTGTTGTCATCCTCAGTATCTTTTGGAATCTTACTCTGTATGTGCCTCTGAGAATGTGCTCTGAGTCCTCTGCATGCATGACCTTTGCAACAGCACTGGGGCTAAGATAAAAGCCTTTGGCATTTTTCCCCAGACTTTTCCACTGTCTTGTGAGATGACAGAGACTTGAGAGTAAAGGAAGTAACACACCTAACACAGGATCATAAAAAGAGAACAATACCATTTACAGTAGTATAGGATARGATCAGGCATGTAAGAAACTAACACTGTCTTGTGCACAGGAGTCAAATCAAGCGCCAGAAAAGCAGCACGAAATTCACCAATTACATTAAATTGGCTTTAYTGGTTCAGTTTGTTTGAAGAGAAGCTTACACAGCAGCTATAGTTGCCCTGATTTTGTTTCAATTTCTTTTCTTCTTAGCTGTGACTTAACATAGTGGGTTGAAAGCATAAAAACAAGAAAATCCTATTTACAATGTTCAAATACCCAGTCAATAAATTGGCGTATGTGAGGTGTTCTGGCAGAAAATTGAGGTTTGAGTGGAAAAAGAATTAAATATCAAACAGAAGTGCAGCCCCATGCCCCTTTGGACTAAATGAGTATTGGTCAGGGTGTCTCTGACCAATTGAATATTTAGAAACTAAGCTACTGAAATTTTTTGGTTCTTTGTTTTGCTCAGAAACTCCCACCAGATTCCAGTGACAGCCAGTTAAGTTCCTGGTGCTTTACTGTGTAAGTGCTGTAGAGTGAGTCTATTCAGAAGGAGGGAGGCTGTATTATACCAGTGATCTTGAACACCTTCATCTCATCTTTGTGCCTTTACTGGATTTCATATTTCTACTCTAGGAAGTTCTTACACTGTAGTCTGATTTCTCGACTCTTAGTACAACAGGAAAAGAATAAAAAAAAGAGAAGGTGGGGGACAGGGAGGGAATCATGGAGAGATGGCATGGTGGCAGAAGTCTTTTTCAGAAGGAGGTGGGATTCAGGTTAGTGAACTGATCTGCAATGTGGTTTGGGAGGAAGCATGCATCATTATATCTTCAGAAGAGGAGCGGATGAAGTGGGCCATCTTAAAAACTGAATGAAAGCAAGCCTGAGGCTTTGATTCTGAAAATTCCAATGTCAATAGCTTCAAAGACTTTGAAAGTACAGGCTTCTTCATCTGTAAAAAAACTTTTATTTTCACCCCTGATTTGCCTGTTGTTCCTTTCTGGCAGTCATATGCCTCTTTTCAATTTGCAAACTATGCGAAACACAAACAAAACCCCTAAAACCATGTTTAAAAATGTATCAGGATGAGCAAATGTAACTGTTAGGCTCGTCCAAAATTTTTGATTAATTCTCTCCTAATTGTGAAATTGGCAGTACTCTGTGAGCTGATGATTATCTGCTTTTTTGGTGATCTGTGTGTTTATATCCTGCAGCTGTGATGCATGAGATAGTAAGAATTCTTTAATGCTGTACTTGTTAAGCTCTTGGATTTTTTTTTTAATTAGCCTACTGTTTCACACCGTATTAGGGACTATTTTAGATATTATCTTTGGTGTTTAATCAAGAAAGGACTAAAGAAAGTAGCTGAAAATAGATTTGTTGAACCACATTRCTCTTACTTGGAATTCAAATKTTAATACTTTGTATCTACAATTAGTTAAGATAAGCTGAAGTAGGCAGCTTTAATTCTGAATTTTGGAATGCATTTGGTTTTAATATAAGTTCATCTTATGCACCTTAAATGGTAGTTTAATAGTTTTCTTTTCCCATCAGGATGTTAGGTGTTTCCATGTAGATTATATACATAAGCTTCCTTATATTATATGTGAGTGTTTTTATTACATCATTGACATTTTGCATTTAAGGAAACTTGGTCCTTGTAGCACTAATCATACTGATYCCTGTAAGAATGCCCATATTTTTATATTTATTAATTCAGTTTTTGCTTTATATCCCTGATTTTTAAGACAGCTACATGTATTATTTCTTTTTCCTATGGCGAAACTAAAATAGCATCAGCTTTCAACTCCTTTGAGGAGGCAGCTACATTTGAACTTCTTATATTAGTTTTGACAGCAAAGTATTGCATATCATGATGTGATYGTTGATGGCATTGGAAGTGGTTTTTGCATGACCTTTTGGAAGAAAATAGCTTTAATCAACTGACATGCRTAGCACAATCTTTTGTTTTATGGTATTCTGTTATTTAGTTTTAGTAAGCATTTTAAATGATTGCAGTTTTTATTATGTTGCTAATTCTGTTTGAATTAATCAATACAGTACAAATTCAGAATTCAGGTATCCTTTTCTCATTAACTTCTGTCCTTTTTTCACAGCATACTCATGTGCCACGACTCATACCTTTAATAACAAGYAACTGTACCTCAAAATCAGTTGCAGTTAGAAGGTGAGTATATTATAAATAGACAACTATTATAGCTGTTGCTTTTTAAAATATGGTTCTCATATGTTGAAAATTAACACAAGATTTATGACCATTAACTCTGAACATACAAAACTGCTACCCAGTAAACTGCAAAGTACAAGAAGTAATTTTAGCCTTGAGACAGTGGCTGCTGCCCTAGGACACGGAGCATCCAYGTGTTGTCATGTTCAACAACTCATYTACWTCTCCAGCATGCTGYTTTTTTCAAGGACTTGGATTGACTCTTGAGAAAACTTAAGTGTTTTTTGAAAGAGTATCATTTTCTGCACCAAGTTACACAAAAGGAGTTTCTGGACCAACGCTAGTCCTGAAAGTGATGTTGCTGTGTGCATGCAGGAAACAGCTTTGAGCATCCGAAATACTTTCTTTGATTCTTGAGCTGCCTTTGCATCCAAAACAAGTGTTACCTCAGCCCACATTGTACTGACCTGTCACAGCTTCAGGTTTGACTGCAGAGCAATTCAAGGGCTTCAGTGCTTTTCAGATGCTGTGGCTTTACTGAGGAACATTAGACTATAGGTGGCTTTGGTGTTGCTGTTCACTRTGAAGTGAGCATCAGTGAAGGCATTGCTTCCATACTGCTTTCATTCTTTTGGAAAGACAACAAAACACTAGATTGGTTATAACAGTGGAAAGTATTTCAGGGTTTCTTTCAATGCTTTGCTGGTGTCCAAAGGATTTGGGCAGACTAAAAATCAAATTTGTTCCTCCAAAATGGGTAAAGATGCAGCATTACCAGAAAATGTGATCGTTTCAGGCAATCAAGTTTACTACATGTTTGAAAATTGTTACCTAAACCTCTCTAGTCTCTTGTCAGCTTGATTTTTCATCAGGATCTAGCTTCAGACATAGTTTAAAAGTATGCCTTTTGCTCATGGTAGTTTGCTAAATTGTCAAGATTCCCAAATTAATAATGAATACAGTTACATAACTTCATTAATATAGTGCCAGCAAATCTTTTGCAGTGCTTTCTATATGCAGAGCCCTCTAATGGTCTCATGTTTTCCTTTATGCTACATACTCAGTAATGACAGATAAAAGCATCAGAATTTATTTGGGACAAAATTTGTTTGGGAAAGTGTTTGGGACAAAAGTGCACTGCCATAGAAATATTATATTGTGTCTTAAGTATTTATTTCTRTATGAAGACTTCGTACAGTTATTTCAAATTCATTAAAGTCTGTTATTTTAGGACTAATACAGTTAATATAGGGTCTGTGTAATAACATTATTTGRGAAGCACATGGTTAATTGAACCACATCTATTATTTTGAAGTCTAAGACTAGTGAGCATTCCTGTTTGCTTTCTATACAGAGTATTTTAGCTTTGCAATAAAGTGACTAATGCACTTATTTGACAGATAAATGTACTTTTATTTTATTTATTTCCCTCAGGGGGAAAGAATAAAGTTTGTGTTGATTCCACAAGCACATTARAGAAATGAATATTTAATTATTACTTTTGTTCTGTCTTTTTAGGCGCTCCTTTGAATTTTTAGACCTGTTATTACAAGAGTGGCAAACACATTCACTGGAAAGGTATGGGCTAGTATGCTTTTTCCCSTAAAATAAGCTGCTAATGTAATTTAAGACAGAAATATTGTCGTTGAATCCTTTAATTGGATTATGTTGTTCAGTGTTGGACAGCCTTTCTGGCATAGGCAGCCTTTCTAGCACAGCAGGTCATGTGGCTCATTCAGGTGCCAGGGGGAAGGAGAGCAATATGTTCCAGCCTTGGCTTCCTGTTGACTCCTCTCCTTACCCTCTGCCTCTCTTATCCTGCACGTGAGCAGTGCATACACAGGTAAGCATCTGTCTTTTCTCCTGGAAGGAGGCAATTTGTGTGTTTCTGTAAAAGAAGGCAAGTGGGCTTGGGCTGGAGGACTTAGGAATGGTAATGGGTAGGGGCACGCTGTAGCTTCTCTAGAGAAATGGGGAAATAGTACGTGCATCAGTTCTGCAGGCTGGTCACAGTAAACACAGGGTAAAAGAAAAGGGAGACTAAAGGGATCCAGAGAAGGCTCTGAAGAGTTCATCCAGTTCCACAGTCACATTTCTATCCTGAGGAAGGGAGCAATGGAGAAATCACTTCATTTATGCCAAAATGTCTAAAAAAACCCACAAAACCCACAACCTCCTCCCTTTACCCCCATCCTAAAAAACCCAAACCAAACATCAAACCTCTTGCCCAAAACTTACCTTGAACTAAAATTTGTTTATCTTCCCATGTTTACGTTGTTCTCATGGGTACTTTGCTGTTCTTTGAGCATCTCTTCAGGTTTATAACTTGTATGACAAAAGTTTTCAGAGCTGAATTTCCAACAAGAAAACTTACTGGTGTTAGTTTTTACCTTTTTCTTACTATTAATATAATAGTGAAAATAGTTTTTCCGTTTCAGGAAGGTGGGTGTCTTAGAAAAGGTATTTTTAAATAAAGTTATGATAGGTGGTCATATGTCAGAAAAGTAGATTAAAATCCTTTTACGTTGAAGGAATAAGCTGTCATTTATGTCATCAATGTGCTTAAGTGTTTGTGTATGCATATCTTGGCAAGAACTAGTATTGCAGCTGTTTTTTTGCTTGGTGAAATGTCAAATAAAGTGTAAAGCTACTTCTTACAATTTGGAGTAGCAAAATAGCATGAAGAATATCTTTCTTCTAGGCATGCAGCTGTCTTGGTTGAAACAATCAAGAAGGGCATTCATGATGCTGATGCAGAAGCAAGAGTGGAGGCAAGAAAGTGAGTTTTGATAAATTTTGTTCTTAATAATTGTATGTGCTAAATGAGTGATAGAAGGCTTTAATCCAAGGTRAGGTGCCATCCATGGCTACAGAGAAGCGCACAGGTTTGGTTGAAAACTGATGTTTCTGTCCTGAATTACTACCTAGTTTCTTTGGAAAAGACATTCTGAAAGCTGAGTCAGTCAGTATGGTTGTGCAGCATTTGATGGTTCTGCTGAAAGAAAAGTTAGAATGGTTGATATTGCCGCATAATCATTCTCCCCCCATTCATTAAGTCTTTGAACAACTGCAGCAGTTGAGATGGCCAGAAAAGGGTTCCTTTTGCTTCCCCACAAAACTGGTAAGAGAATGTGAGACATTCAAAAGATAGACTTAAGTTAACTTATTTTGAAAAGRTGAATTCAGTTAATGTGGCTGGTTTCTTTTATGATTTGATGAGCATTGTTGTGTGCTTTACATATTCTCAGTTCCTTTCASTCCCATCCATGCTTCATTCAGTAATCTTTACTTCCTGACACCACCCTTTAAAGAAAATACAGAGCATTTACATGTGGTTATTCTTTTGCAGGGCTTATCTGGGTCTTAGAAATCACTTTCCTAGTGAAGCTGAGACTCTGTACAATTCTYTGGAGCCACCCTATCAAAGAAGCCTTCAGACCTACCTGAAGAATTCTGGCAGTATAGCATCTCTCCCTCAGTCAGACAGGTCGTCCTCTAGCTCACAGGAGAGCCTCAAGTAAGGGTCGCTTCACTGTTTCTGAGCCAAAAAACAAATGCAGGTGGTTTCTCAAAAGCAAATTATCCAGGCAAATTATCTGTTGAATACAGAAAAGCTGCAATTTTATTTTGTTGCTTCTAATCTTTTTAATAAAAAATTCTTCTATGKTGTTTTGATATATGACAGTGTTACCCCAGCAACGTGGTAAGTACRGGCAGTCTCACAGGATTTTAGCACGCTGTTTGTATTCATATATTCATATTCATTCCTTAACTGCTTCTTTAAACATCAAAATATCTTCAAGGTTCATATTAATGTCCAGCATTCTGGTGCGCTGAATGGGTCTAGGAAAGTTATAATGTTGTTGCTCCTTTTTTATTTCTTTTCACTGGCAAGCATGAAAAAGGGACATCAGCCATGAGATTGATTCAGTTTGGAGATTGGTTTGGGTCTTTCTTGGGTGTTTCAGTAATGAATATGTATTTGCAGGATTTTGCAGCTATGCCAGTTAGGATGGGGTGGGTCTGTGCTGCAGTCAGTGGTGTATTAAAATGCGTAGACAATCTTGAGCTGAATAAATKTAAAGTTTACTTAGGTACCAGTAGCAAAAGAAATCTGCTGGCTTTTTAGCAGAAATATGAAGTAGTAGTAGTAGTATGTGGTGATTTTTGCCTTTAAATTCTAGAAAGCTTCCTTGAAGTACTTCAACTTTTAAATATTTCAGATTCTTCATTACCAAAACCAGAGAGCTTGTCTGCACACTTTTGACTTGAAAGCAAAGATTGCTTATAGCATATTGGAAGTTCCCTTTTTTTTTTTCCTTTTTTTTCCCTTTTTTTTCTTGTTTGGCTAATGCCTTAAATACCAGAGGTTTACCGTATATTTCCTATGATACTTAAAATTATAAAAAAAAAAAAAAAAAATTGTCTGGGATGCCAGCAGTTGCTAGCTTTTTATTTTCCACAAACAAATATTTATTCAAAGATTGAATGTTCTTGATTAAATTAATCTGTATTTCCCATGTGAAAATCCAAGTGCTGTTAATGAGTTACTAGTAATAAACTTAAGTTACAGGGAACTTAGAATATTAAAATACAATAAAATCTTCAAATGTTGCTTCCTATATTGCAACAAATCTAAGTTCTACAGTGCAAAAAATGAGGAGTAAAAGAATAAATAAACAGGAGTGATGATGATATTGAACATTAATGAAATTTTAACTGATTTATTACTAACTTTGCATTCAGATGGATTTTTTTTTTTACTGTTACCCAAAATTGTATTTCTGGCTCTTAGTGTAGATGCTGAATTCCTCTTGTGTAGGCTAAATCAGGAAGTATGGGTATGATTTCCCTAAAGTTCTGATACTCTGATTTTTAACCTTCTGAACTTACATCTCATACAGATCATTAATCATTAATCCAGAACTGTTTTAAAGAARATGGTGGAATGAGAGAGAAATGTGGTGACTTCTGCCTACATATATGAAGCTGCTTACTTAAAATGTCAGTTGCAATAGATTTTGGCAGTTGTCTGGGTGCAAGTTGTAAGGACAGGACGCACCCAGAAGTTCTGCCTCAGCCTTCTCAAATTACTTGAGGCAAAGTAGCTTCCAAACACTGGTTAGTCATGTCAGAAAAGCAGGTTTATTCAGAATAAGCTGCAAACACGTGWTTTTCTGTGAGGATTTAGGCAATAGTGCTGAGCTCCATTGCTGTTGAGCAGCTAAGCTGGGGTAAATACACAATACGAGGCATCTCTTTTCTTTCTGCTTTTAGGTTTGAAATTAGAGGAATTATTTTTGTTAAAGCTGAGACGCTGGATCRGCTTGTAATTTKACTATTGATGAAATAGTCRAATAGYTCATCAAATACAAACCTTCTCCATCAGATTTACAACCAATGAATAAGCTGTTATATACGTTTTCTTCTTCTAGTCHTTTTGTTTTTCCCTGGTCTCTCTGGCTGCATTTTACCCTTCCAAACCAGGCCAAAGGATGGGCTCACAGTTAAACTTGAGTAGACTGAAAGATTGTGCTTCAGTAACTACTCACTTTTGCAGTGAAAAGGAAATGGAGCGAAAACGTAGAGGAAAAGATTTTTCTCCTTTTATGAATTATGGGAGCCTCTGTATTCCAACAGGAAATGGGGTCTAGCTGCTTGGAAGTTTCAACATTTCCTTTTTTAATTTGTARCTTAATTCTTGGGACATCTGGGACTGGAGGAGGCTTATGAGTTGGACACCTGTTTTTCTTGTTACTGCAGACACCACATAATGTCTTTCTTAAATAAAGCTTTTTGGGTAACTCCCACTGTTGTTGTTTGACAGCTGATTTATGAGATCAGCCGTGTGGTGAAGAGCTCATACTGACCACTGTAAATGTTTTTGTAACCAAGTCTGGAATGCCTGAACTTGGTTAGCAAAGTTTTCCTGTTGGTAGCTGAAGGATTAGTGCTTTGTCATAAAGGTGTAATTTTTATAAATTCTGGTTTTCATATMATTCTCTATTTAAAGTATTTATCTAAAATATGCTGAGAAGGTTGAAGGGGAGAAAGAACAAAATATTTTCTTCTCTTTTATTGTGATAAAAGAGATTTGCATCTGATGCATGAGATTTACTAGATTTATTGACTTTTTTCAGTCGGCCTCTATCTTCTAAATGGTCTGCAGCCAGCCCAGCAAGTCTTGCAGGCAGAGGTAAGGTGGTAGTCATGTAGTGTGCAGTGCACAGCTAATGTTCTTTCAATTAGRAGTTCTAAATGTAGCTTAAAATTTGACTGTCTCAGCATTTACCCTATTTCCAAGATAAATAATATTATATGTCACTATAAACTGTACCTGGAACTAAGATTGCCTCACACTSACTTCACATGTTATGTAGTTTCAGTTGTTCCAGTTTAGTATACTGACATAATTCAGTATTAATTGATCATATGTCCTGGAGTTCTGTCAAGGAGCAGTCAGTCTCAGAGAAACAAAACATTATACTTTGGTCTGTTCTTGACTTGGGTTTATAGCAATTGGAAATTAAAGACTCACTGTCTCTTTCATGTGTTCCCATGTAGCCGTTGCTCTTTCTAAATACATACATAAATAAAAAACAACAGCCAAACTAAACCACATATTTGTAAYTCAAAGAGTTTAATTATGTGTTTAGTTTTCAGAATTTAATGACTTCAATTTCTTTTCCCATAATGTCTTAGTAACTCTTGGAGAGTGAATCATTGATCTGCTTTTTACAAATGGAGTGTAATTGAGAGTCCTTCTTTTCTGGATATTGAAACTGATAAGGGGAGTTCAGAAGCCCTAAAACAATGGTTAAAATTAACTGATGTGAATAGCTAAAATTCAGTAAATAGTAGAAAATGAATATGAAAATACCCAAGATTAAACTCTTAAGGCATTTCAGAGGATGCATTCAGCTCACCTGTCTGTGGCTTTACCTTAGCTAAAGTGTGGGAATATTTSCTTCCTTCAGTATTTCAAGGAATGATGGGGGTTTTCTTATATTTGTGAAGTATTCAGTAATGTAATAAATCACACAAAGGTTTAGAATTATGTCATTTGTACTAGKGTGAGAACACACAGTTTGCATTAAATGATGGTAAAATTCAGTGCTGAATGAAGATAAACTCTAATGTAAAACAGACTGTCCTTTATATGAAGTTCATGGCAAGACCAGGTCTAGTTTGCTTTTTCATCTCAGTATTATTTGGTTTCATATTAGCTTTACTTACGCTTTTCTACGTAGTGTTCTGTGCTTTCTGCAAGCATGCTGCAGTAGTGGAAGATGAACCTCTTGAATATAATTCATTTTATTCAAATCAACTCATTTCTTTGGGTTTCTTTTTTGTTTTCTGTTGTGGCAGTTTCAGGCAGCAGCAAGGGCGTTCCAAGCCCGGGCACTCTGCAGAGGTCTCGCAGTGACATCGATGTGAACGCTGCTGCAGGCGCCAAAGCCCGCCACGCTGCTGGACAGACAGCTGGGGCTGGGCGCCTGTCAACAGCTGGGCTGCCCCCGGGATCCTACGCCTCCCTAGGTAAGGGAGCACCTTTGCAGTGCTCTCAGATATTTTTGTGATTTTCTTGATCAAAAAGTTACAGGACAGTACTCCTCTGTTTGAAAAATGGTCATAGTTTTTAGYTCTTTTGTCATACTGGAGTATGACAAAAGAGGAGGTGTTCTGACGTAAGTCACAAATTTTCTCAGATGCTTTATTTTTCTTGTGCTGGAAGAGTCCAGTGCAAAGAATGTGTCCATCCTTATGCTCTTTAAATGTCTTAATCTGGAACTAATAGTAAGTGTTGGAAGGAGTGGTACCTTTACGTAACAGCATGTGTGAGGGCTTTTGATTTTCRGTTTTTCTCAGTTCATCAGTTCATTCATCTACTGCTAAAGAGGTACCCTGGCAGTCAGAGGAAGCTTCCTTGTGAAATACAGAGGTGTTTCACACAATAACCTACAACACTGARTTCATTAATGTCTTCCTAAGGACATTGATGGAACTTGCCTATGTTTAATCTAGGTGAGAGTCTCCAGTGATSCTTGCTGTTAGACACAGAAAGTGTTATAAGTGGTGAGAGTGCAGAAAAGTATTTGATAATGGTGGTATGGATGCTAGAGTATCCACCAAGTGGGGATGCTAAAGGACTGTGAACATGTTTTTGTTCTATATTAGGTTATCCATTCTGTAGGAATAGCAGTGGGGGAAGAGCRGTTCAGTATTCACAAAACTGGTTTTTTCTTCTCAGCTTCTATGCCAGCTAGATCACCAAGGAGAGACATGTTCTAATGTCAGTATGGCTGTAGATGATCACAAGAGACAAAGAAAGCATGTAGTTCTTCTGATTTGAGTTACATTTGGGTAGATGTTAGCATACAGGTAGGCTTTGGTTTACAAAGGTTTTGGTTGTGCTTATTAAAATTAAAACTTGATTCTTTTTGTCATCGGGGCCCACTTGAAGTGGTTTGAACAGAGCTGATTTGAGTGTTAGCTTAGAGTGTGAGCATTCCCAGCTGGAAGGAATACTTGGTACTTGGAATAGCAGTTTTGGATGTGGGCTCCCTCTGGTGCCCACAGAGGGGGCAGCAGAGCCTGCTGAGTCGCAGGTGGACACCGACATGAGGCTGCTTGGTGGAGGGSATATGCTGGTGGTTCCCCAGGAAGTTGTGGATGCCCCATCCCTGACAGTGTTCAAGACTAGGCTGGATCAGGCTTGGAGTGMACTGCTCCAAAGGAAGGTGTGCCTGCCGACAGTAGGGGGCTTGGAACTAGGTGATCCTTAAAGTCCCTTCTGACCCAAACCATTCCATGGTTCTGGAAATCTCAGTTCCTCCTACCTTACTGCCTAAAAGACTGAAATATGTGGGATGATTATTTTCCAWGATCAGGGCATTGCCTTATGTGTTTTGATGTGCAACAGGTCGTATTTTGAACCTCAGACAAAGCTGGTGTTTAGAGAAGTAAAAATGGCACAGAGCATGGTGATAGAAGGAAAAGAGAAGTCAAATGGAAAAGRAAGAGGAGATCTTGCTCTTTTAATGTCTTCTTTATGTTGCTGAAATGAGGGTGCTGTGTTGTCTTAAGACACTCAGAGAAAATTAGCTCTTAATTGGAGTATTGGTTTGCTTTTAAAACATTTTAAGCACTATCTGATTCATGCCAAGAGTTTTGTAAGCAAGGGTTGAGAAGGGCACAGAGGTTTCCAATGAAGGGGGTTCATGCAGTAAAATAACAGAAATAGCTTATTCTCCTTGTAATTTATTGATTGGGTGAGTCAGGTTGGGGGAGAGGAATAACAAGCATTAAGTCCAGGTCATATTTGTTTGAAGGATTTGAGTTGCTGGAAGGCTTTACCTTGCCAGCAGATGCAATCACGTGTGGAGAACAGTATGATGGTCATCTGAAATGGCAAAATAATGTAATACTGGCGATGTGTAGTAAAAATCAAAACATAGTGKAGCTAGTGAAAGGGCAGTGGTAGTCAAGGAGACCAATGTTTGTTTACAGTCGCACAAAAGCGGTACTGCTTGATTGATCTTGGCTCAATCTCCTAACAGTTTTTTAACTGTTGTAAGGTAATTTAAATGGTACATACCATGTAGACAGTGTGACTGTTACTTGTCTGGCTGTGGATTAGCTTCAATATATTGTTTACTGTTAATTGTCTAAAGGTAACKGTAAAATGAATGGAGTGCGAGTCCGAGCAAGTGCCATGTTTCAGAAGATGGGCTAATTTGTAAAGTTCTTCCCTCTCTTCATTTTAAGGAGCTTATTTATAGTAGCCCCAATATGGAAAGTTAAATGACAGAACTGTCAAGATAATGCTGACCATGGTATGAAAAGACCTGGKCAACATTATTATATTTCCATAATGCTTTCCACTTACTTTAGGTGTTGCAGTCAGTACCAAAATAAATGACATTGTCTCCTAGAGCCTGAATTTRTTTTCATCCTGGCTTGCAGAGAARCATCCACCTTTTRCTTGCACAGCTACCAAAYTAAAAGCCTCAGAAGGCCAGAAGTTTATAAGCATAGYARTCTATAATTGGGTTGACCCATCYCTTCCCTTTTCATTATTAATAGAAGAACTCTTGCTTTGTTTATAATTTTTAAAGACTATTCTAGAAGCAGGAGGATGCTCTCTAGTTATTTCAAATGTTGACTATCTTTGACATCCTTAAGTATTAAATGTCCTTGTTGAGGAGGCTTGAGCTGTAATTTTATATATATCATGCTAAATATTTTAATTTTGATTGTTACTGTCAGAATATTTATGCACTACCTTCCAGCTGAACTGGTAAATATTTAATGTTTTTAGACTACAGTGAAACTTTGTCTCATTTGTCCTCTGTCTTAATTGTGCTTTTTTYTCCCCTCCTGTCTCTTACCTCAGGTGGGATTTCGTGCTCAGTAGCAAATTTCATAAGAAATATAAATATGTGGTTCAGTAATTACATAAATATGTACTGATGCTTCAGTAACTGTTTACACCAAGAATAAAACCATTTATACATGTTTTACTGTAAGGGTTTTCTCAAATCTGGGAAATACAGAGAGAATCAAAATCCCTGTGCAGGGTACTTGTACCCTCTTTTGTAATTTTGTACCTTGGACTGAGCAGCACCAACTGTGCTTAAGGTAGCTTATACATGCATTAATTAGATAAACATGTCTGCTGTATTTAATATTAATGTATTTTCCTCAATTAATGTTTTATGACTCTGCTGTGAACACCTTTATTCTAACACACTAAGTTTTCCATGTTTCTTTGCCTGCTTTTTCAACAAAGAGGATACTTCTGACAAGATGGATGGTAAGAAATTGTTTCGTCTGTCCTCTAATTCTATTAAGTATCTAATAAAGTATCTTTTATGTAAAAGTACTGATGTTTAATATATTTGTCTGTTCATTAACAAATTACTATGTTGTTTTTAYTAACTCCTGTGTAATCGTGATGTCTTGTTAAATGTATTATTGYTGTATTTGTCAATTTTGTGAATGTTTGGTCTGTATCAGCAACAGAAACATTATCAGAAATTTGGCATTACTCCTCTTTTTTWAAAAAAACCCTCTGATAATTACAAAGCCATTCTGTAATCATTGCATGCTGCTTTTTAACTAGTTAAATACATGCTTTCTAAATTAGTCTAGCTCCAGTGTATTCCCTAGATCTACATGTAAAGTCGATTTTTTTTTCTTGACAAAACAGCAGTGGGAGAGCAGAACATGCTTGACCACATAATTAAGTATTAAAAAAAGCAAAAACGAAACCTAAAATCTTCCTCTCAAGATCTAGCCTTTCTACAATGATTTGAAGTGCCTGTAAATTCTGTAAAACAGTGTAATTCTATTAAAAATCATTTGTAAAGATGACCTCCCTGTTAAAATAGCTTATCAAGAGTTCCATGTAAGTTTCAGCGCTTGCTTTTTCTTAATTTGCTGTTAGAAACACATGGAGGAACTGCAAAGCAGTTCAGTATCAGGCTTCTCATAGCAATTGTCTGTTTCAGATGTGTGCAAATAGTACTTCACATAAAGTGACAGAGTCCCAGCCTGATGCCTGGTTCTAGTTCTAATTCTAATTCTAGTTCTAATTTATTGCTTGGGAGTATTTAACAAGCACTTAACCAGTTTGCTGCTTACTTAATATTTTGTGCCACGTATTTATTAACTGTGCATGTTTCAAAGAATGAGTAGTTTATTAGAAGCAAATGTATCTCATAGAAATGAAAAGAGAGAGAAGGTAGATCTATAACCGGAATAAATTTAAAACACAGATGTTTCTTGAAAGAATTTGAGCTAGTTTTAAACGTTGAAGATGTCAAAACTAGTTTAAAGAAATGAGGATAGTAGAAGTCTGTATCACTTCTTTCCATATGATGCTTCCTTAGGCTACATGTAATAGGCTTTATTCATAGCTGTTTTTGCTAAATCTTGAGCTTTGCACATTGTCACCGGAAGTAAAGGTTCTTAGGGCTGTAGSTTTTTTCTCTTGTTCTGACCAGAAGTCACAGCTAATGATATGTTGCACATTTCTGCTTAAAAACAGCAAGGGAAGTGCTATGCAGTTGATCAGAGTAAAAGGGTGGGTTTTTTTCTAGAGGGTATCTGTAGCTATGATATGCAAGATGGAACACAGCTCACCAGCTGTGGTTGTGTGGTATAGCTGTTCCGATCTCATCACTACCACAAGGAACTAATCATTCTTCCTTTTCCTACTAACCTTGTCCACATGTTTTATGTCTTCTTTTGTTAGCACCTTGTGATATTCCATTATCAATTACTGTGGGTGAATAAAGGCCATAAAATAGATTTTGTACAAGTGACCTGTATTCTGTTTTTGGCTTGAGCTGCCATTGAGTGCTTAGCCATCCAGTGGTAGCACAAAGTTAAGAGGAAAGAGAAATAGGAGCATCTGTTAGCCTTGCTCAGGAGTTGCATGGATTCTGCCTTGCAATCTGGGTCTCTGGAAGAATGTTGGATTTGGAAGGGTAGCTCAAGGTTTGGGAGCTTGGTTTTTTTGTTTGGTTTTGGTTTTTTGCAAACTGGCAAATTTGATCTGGAAAACTTTGAGGCACTCCTACATGCCTATTACTGTAGTTGATTTTTGTGAAGAAGCATTAAAGTTTACAATGAACCAATTTTTTAGAGGGAGGTTTTGAAAATAGTTCCTTGAAGATACTGTAACATGAGAAAACCTTCCCAGCAAATCCTCTTAAGTTCAGGCGGGCCAAAGACACTAGCAGATGTTTTCATCATGATAGTTYTCTTGCAAGGCAGAAATGGCAGATAGATAGTGAAAATAAAAATGGAAGTACCATTTGATTTTTTTTTAGGGGCCTTTAACATTTTTATCATTACTACTATGTGTTTTATTCCATAATAAGATTTGTTTCAAAGGAGCTGAAAGGAAGGACTGCTGATTAGTCAGCTTCCCATCAGTTYCTAGGTACTGATGGGAAAAAGGCTTGTCTGATTCTCACATTGTCAAAAATCAAGCCTTGTTAAGCTTGGCATACTTGTTCAAGTGTGATCTGATTTCAGCAAGCTCATATTTCTTCCATGTCTCTGAGCAAGACTTAATCCTATGCATGTGTATCTTCAGAGTAATCACAGGCTTAWTTCAGAGAAATCCTCCTTGCTGGCAGTTCCTATCAAATTATCACTGTCYAGTGTGGGAAACAGTTTTTCTCTGAGGTTATATATAATAGTATGTTTCATATTACCAGAAGAGCTTGCATTACAATATTTTTAATGTCTGTTTTGATCTGTATATGTCATTTTGTTGACTGATCTCATAGATGTAACTTTTTCAGTTGAATTTTTTGTGTGTTTGTAGCAAGTATGGMAGGCAGTGCTGTGCATTGTGTTCTTGTAAATTGCTATCAGTGTAGTATGGATACTTTCTTGGTAATTTTACTTCAGTTATGGAGTTGGAACATAAAAACTTTAGCTCTCTTGACTTGTTAAAATTTGTCAAGATTCCCAAGATAATYTCAAAAAGGAATTTGAAAGATGTAGTATTGTTTGGAATATCATGTATTTTATTATTTCTTCTGTTTAGGAACAGCTTCTGAAGATGGTAAGAAACTACTTTGTTAGACTAGCTAATATTTTCAGCTTCATATTTTCATTGATACAAATGAAACTTTAAAARTAGAACATGGTGTTTCTGGGGCTTGTGGAGGTTCATAACAGACAGCTTATGCATCTAATACTTGGTTGTCATGTACTATTTTGAAAATTCTTTTGCTTTTATTTTAATTCTCAAGTACTCATCTGCAGTCTAAGTATCATTGCTTAATATTTCTACTGTGAAAATACAGSGGCTTTATAATTTTGCATTTTTGTTTTAAAGCAAATCTTGTCACAGTTTTCATCAAATGTGTTCATGCTCTGGGAAGCAGGTGCTGCTATTACTCATCTCTGTGAGACTYGGAAGCTAATTTTCAGTCTGTTATTAACATTTAAACCTGTCATTAGTGAATGGATGTAAGACTCCAAATTAGTTAACAGTTCATTTACCTCACAGACACAGACTGSTTTATTTTACGTTGATAAAACTGAAACAGGTTCCAAGTGATAATTTAACATAGTATTAAAATAGTGGCACTCTGTATTCCTAGGTTTTGGGCCGAATTCTGAATGCGATTACATGCTTTGCAGTCTCACAGCACTCAGTGGGAAAACATTGCCATTGCACAGGGATAACTAGTAGAGTTTGGGCTAGTTAATCTAACCATTCTTGCTTAGCCTGTTGTTTTCTAATAGTTTAGTTAATAACCTCCTTTATCCTGATTTTCTTCTTATAGACTCTCATCTGTGGCTATACCATCTACTTGGATGAATAATATTAACTTGGTTGGTCTCCAGATTCTGCTCTGGAAAGCCTCAAGAGGCTAGAACTAAGCAGTCTATGTACCTAATTCTTTTAGGTCAAATATTGACTCAGCATGTCTAGAAAAGATTTTAATTACGCTGTGTTTGAAAGTTTTGAGCTTGTTGAGCTAGATCCACCCTGTACTTTTTGAGGCTTGTTCTTGCAGCTTACAGAAATTWTGGTTAGCATGAGTTTGGGTTTGATTTCGTTTTTATGTTGTTTGARAGGTTGGCTTAGGAAATGTAGTGAGCAGCTCTACTACTTTCTTTTACAAATGATCTTCCAGTTGCCTATAATTCATCCAACTGGGGTCTTCCTCTCTTTCATAATTTATTTGTATRTGCTGGATGTTATGAGGAACATGACTAACAATGCATAAAGGTTTAACCAAACCCAAGAGAACTTATCATTTGCTATTTGGCATTCTAGAGAAAAGTGAATCTCTTGTTTTATTTGATGATAGTTAGTTCAATTTGTCACTTGCTTGGCTTTTCCATCTGTTGGGAAGAGTAGCATTTGTTTATATCATGATGTCACAAGAAGGGCTTCAGTGTGTTTAGTCTTTGCAAAGTGCTCTGAAAGGTTTGGGAAATCCTGTAGAACTCTTTATGACTGGCCAGGAAAGCAGCAGAATCTTCAGCAATAAAAAAGCTAGTGTTTAGATTTCTAAAATGAGTAATGAAGTTACGAAGAATGTTCAGGATCCTATACTGTAGTTTTATGACAGCAAAAGTATACTTACAAGCACAAGTAATCATGAGAAGACTGTACCTGATACAGCAAAATTAGTGTTTGCATTGCCTATTGTATTGGGTAAACTTCCCTTTTTTTTTAATGTAATCAACCTATATATGTAGGAAAGAAGAACTAGCTAGTCAGGCGAGGGTGTTGAAGGGGTAATGTGCAAATGGTTTGCTGAACCATGTGGCATCCTAGGGAGAAGTATTTTTTTTCCTCAGATACTAAATTCCTCAAGGTGTTCAAATTTCTACTAATTATCCCAAGTGAATTTTCACCAGTTGAGTTACATTGCGCTTCTTTTATCTGCAGAAACTTAAGAAAATRTTAGTAAATCCTAYTGATGCTCTGCTTTCTACCTGAATATGATTTAATGTCATTTTTCCTTTATAGGTCGTATACGATCAAAGCTCTCAACCCCTTCTGTTGGTATTGGAAATTCTAAAACAGATTCCAGAGGACGGAGTAGAACCAAAGTGGTGTCGCAATCTCAGCGTATGTATTTTCTGTTTATCAGTTATTCCTGATAGTAAAGAGGCTAAATGCTTAAGCATATTTTCATTGACCAATGGCTACAGTCAAAGTTAATCTAAAAAAAAAAAGCTACATACTGAGTTGTTGTTCTGTGCCTTAGGTTCATCATCGCCAGACCAAAATGAAGGTATTTTTTTTCAGTGTTTTGGGTCAGTGGTATTTGCATGCTTTTCTGATTCATGTTGTTTTTCTCTGGACAAAATAGTAGGTTAGGTCTTAGTTTGCCAATTAAATTAGATAATAAAGCAGGAAGTGAAATCTGTCCCTAAATTCTGTCTTCAGTTATAACTTCTCAACATTCTTTTCCCCCCTTTTCTGACCTCCCCAACATGAAAGGCCAGTAAACACAGATGAGTAATACAGAAGAATGGATAGGCTGAATGGTGTCYTCAGTGTTACCTGCAGCACCTAATTTTTCACTTTTAAAGAAGTCTTATTTTAGCCAGAAATACCCATTTTCACTTCCAACTAGTTACTGCTCTAGCTCTTGTATATAAACTCCTTCTTTTGTATTACAACTCTTGCCTTTAGAGTACACCTTGTTGGAGTGAAAATACTAAACCCTCACTTTACAATCAATTACTAGGCTTGTGTTGAGTCAGAGAGTTAAAACAAGCAATTTAATGTACGTCACCTAATCCACAGTAATTTTCTGTGTGTGTTTAGTAACCAAAGCAGATGTGACATTTTCTGTCTAGCCAAGCACTCGGTTCTTAATTAAAAAAACCTCATTACCTCACATTCTTTGGCACTGGCTGACCTGCAGCAGTTTAATCCACACATCTGATGTCTCCAAAAGACATTTTCTGACTAAATTTTAGCATTTTCAGATTCTTATCTTTGTCTAATTAAGTGAAATACAACTAAATTAATGAGGACAAAGTCACAGTAGAATTAAAATGAACTTCCCAACTGTATAATTTGTCAAGGTCTAATGTTCTAAACCCAGTAAATTTTACCAGATTTGAAATTTCCAATACAGTTACTTTGCTGTCRCTAACCATACCCACTTTCTTTAATAAAACCCCTTAATAATATGTTTAATGGCAGAAACATTTGTCTTCATAGCAGTGGCTGCATCTGATATAAATAGTATGATTTTAGAGGCTGAAAAAGCAGGTMGAAGAGGGTTTTTCTGTAGTTTGTTTTTTTTTTCTGTTTTACTTGAGTGTTTGCCATTCAGTTTTGCATTTCATTTTCCAACAAGTACAATTGGATCAAACCTGATCCAGTGTTTGCAGGTTTTGTGAAATAAAGTTTTCAAAMAATGTGAACAGATAAATAGAGCATACTAAAATCCAACACCTAATAACGGAAGTTTCCTTGAGAGCTTTGATAGTGCTCTAAACCCAGAAGGGAAATGAGAGCCTGAAAATGAGTCTAATTGTTGTCTGTGACAAAAGTCATGCAAAGCTTGTTTTACAGATGGCTATGCTGTATCATAAGCAAAGAATATGTGAATAATTTAAGAGGGAGGAAAGGTAAAGTTCCATCAAATCCCTTTTTCCCCTCTATGAAAAGCTATAAGCAGTGYTGGTAATAATTTTTTCATTAGTATTAGGAAAATTTGGCATTAAGCTTTTTGGAAATGCCTTCATACTTTGAATAAATTTGGTAAATTCTTAAAAAGTGAAGGTGTTTCATAAATGTCTGAAGGAGGGGGTAAATTTAGGTAGCAATAGAAGACTTTATTCATGATCATTGTCATATAATATTAATTAACTGTATATCCAGAGAAGCAAAATTAAGCCTTTTCAWTTTTTTTAGCTAATAATGACAGGGTTTTTTTTCATTTTTGAACAGTATTAATGTCTAAATAGATAAATTGATATTGAGATAACTAGATCGGACTACATGTGATGATGTGTGAAAATTAAATGCGTGAATGCATCTTTACAAGCCTTTTATTACTACTTCTGTTCAGAACCGATTGCTTCAAATAGCTCATTATAACCTGTCAGTGGGGGAGAACAAGAATTCTGAGATGTTTTAAGGAAGATAAACAGGGCAAATACAAATGGACAGGCGAAGGAGAATTCTCAGGCACTGTATGCCAGCTATTTGGGTGATGCTTCTTTATGTGACTGAAAATTTTCACAGCATTGTGTGAAGCGTGATGCTTGATGTTTCCATACAGGGGATTGTTTTAGTTCCCTAGCTTATATAATGAGAGAATAGCTTCATATTAGAGATAAGCTTTTCTTTCTTTCAAAACCACTGTAGCACAGATGCTTTTGTTAATTTTTGGGTTGCAGCTATCTTTYGTTCAAAAATCATTTTATGAAAGACTTGCAAATTTGAATGCTTTTACCAAAAATACTTTTTTAGGGTTTCAAAAGCCCTTTACTMTTCCTCTTCTATTTTTAAATTAACATAAAGTAAATGCTTCATTGTTTTATTCTTACCTATGGAAAAAAATGTAACATTTATTTCCTCTTCTTCCCAGTTTGGTTTTCAGGTAATTCAACTGGGTCTGCTGAAATTGCATTAGAGTTGTCATTCAGAGAATTTCTGAATGGAAACAAATTCTTACTTTTATACTCCATATTAATTTGAAAGAGGAAAACATAAAATTCTGTGCAAGTCTTTTCAGTTGTGCCATTGTGAATTTGGTTTTTTTGTTTTGGTCATCCACTGCACTTGCAGCTCAGTTCCTTTACTGTTGTGTCTCAAAAAAAAAAGTTTTGATCTTGTGTGTAATTTTTGTTCAGCTGTTGAACTTCTTGAGCCTTTTTGGCAGTGTAATATTCTTTTCAAGTAATATGCGGGCTACAGTTTCATGCTTAATTGAAATTTAATTCTTCAGTGTTGAGTTGTTGATTGGAAAGCTGAAGAATTGTAATTTGCTTGTGCAGCTTTGCTTCATCTGCTTTGTACATAGCATCTGAATTTAATTCTTCAATTGTGGAAGCTACTTAATAGCACTGCTTTAGCGTAACCCCCTTGTGGCTCTTTTTCCTGTGTGAAATGACTAAAGCTTTCTTATTTCCATTTGCCATTCATTTTTTAATCTGCTCTGCTCCCTCCCTCTTCACGGATTATAAATCCCTACCCTAATYCTGCCTTTACACTTGTTCAGGATCACAGTCTGCTAACCCCATTGGTGGTAAGAGTCTACAGAATTCATGTATACATCATTGTTTGATCACCTGTTTGACATACCTCATTTAAGGACCCTATTCAGCAGAAATTCTGGCTGCCTTTTTTCCATATGCTGCACGTAACTTAATTGGGTGTAATCTTTATGTAAGAAACCAGGAGAGATCGGAAGAGTGTCATTTTGGAATAGTGCCTTAGTAATCTTTCTTTCATCATTCAGTGCACTTAGATCTGCTGGTGGTGGTAGTACTGAAAGAGTATGCCAGTGCTCTTACTAGCTTAGTATTTGCAGGATATTTAGCTACTTTTGGTTTATTTTCACTGCAGTGGTACACTTTGCTGGTGTGACTGTACAAAGATTAAATAAAGTATTAGAATGAGAGGTTACATTTCTTCTGAATATTCTGAGTAAGTTTTTCAGGTTCCTGACCTATTGAAGAAAATCTACAAGTCTCCAGCACAGTGGAACCTTTTACAATATTTTTGTTGTTTTTTAAAGAGGAACAGAGCAGGAAGAAAGCATAGTAATATCAGGTCTAAGTTGAAATACTTTGATATGAAGGATATGTCAAACTCCTAATTTTTGCAGACCACAGCAGTTTTATAGGTTTGCTTATTCTTTTGTTGCTATGGAAGTTGTGCTTATTTTTTTCCAGGCTGTGTAGTATTTTATTTTTCATTTCTGCTGAATAGGTCCCTAGTTTGGAAAAGAGATTTTGCTAAGTAATCATTTCAAGTTTGAATTCAAACAATGAATCTGAAAGTATATGCATGGTACGTTGTTTTAGATTGCTCTCTTCCACCCAGCATATATTTTATTTTGTTTGGGATTTTGTTTCATTTTCCATAAAGACAAGCTTTACTCAACTTGTATCTTTTTTTCAGTGTGCCTCATTGACAAGTAACCCATGAAATTCACTTGAAAAGTTGCATGTTGTCTGTAAATCTGATAGCATCACTGTGGTCATACAGTTACCTGAYTGTATTTTAAAGATTAATGAAGGGTTCAAATCTGTATGTAATTATTCTTTGGTTGAAATTCTGTTTTGCTTTTAATGTGGTCATATTTATTGAATTTTACAGCTGGAAACAATCAGCTGGTGATATAAATCAGTCACAGCTAGGGAAGAATGTGTTCTTTGTTAAGACTTAGAACTTAAATGTTCTGTTACTGAAATATCAAAATTAAAGATGAGTGACTACAGTTTCTGGTAGAGATACAGTATCTTGAACCTCAGTAGTACTTYGTAATATGCGGTTTTAATTAGCAGAATTTAGAAGATACTTAAATATGTCTTAATTTTTTAGCTGAATAAACCTAGTTCAAGATTTTCTGTAATTTGTGGGGTAACCTCCACAGGAAATGTACACSGATATTTTTTGTCTTCAGTCACATTTTATTTAATAATGTTAGAATAATGCTTGAAGACCCCATGCTTTTAAAAGCAAGGAAGAAGATTTTAAATGTTAGGAAAATCACATTATTTGATTATAGCATTGGTTGCTTTGGAAAAGCTGGGATAGTTACGAAATCATACTCTGAAGTTGCTCCCTTTAGCTTTCTAACAGGTTGGTTTGTTTTTCTTTATTAATAGAAAATGCGATTAGTGAGACCACATAGTTTAAAAAAAAAAATGAACACAGCAGTGTTCATATTAGGGACCATGGAACTCTTGATGAATTCCAGAAATAATAATTGTGGTTTCTTGAGCCTATATCATGCTAAATATCATGTCAAATGCTTCCTTGCATTGGTAATTTTAACTACCTTGGATGYAGTACTGTAAGAACTTGGACCAGGGCATTCTATTTCATGTTTTTACCTTGTAAGTTTTTCCTGATCATTTCAATCTACTACCACCTTCCTACTAACTTCAGATATTATTTTCTTTTTAACCATGATTGTTTATCCACTATGCCATTACTAATATTTATTCATTTTACCTTCAGCTGGCAGTAGATCTGGGTCTCCTGGAAGAGTTTTGACAACAACCACACTTTCCACTATGAACACAGGAGTTCAGAGGGTGTTGGTGAATCCTGCAGCTGCACAAAAACGGAGCAAAATCCCACGAAGTCAGGGGTGCAGTAGAGAAGCTAGTCCTTCTAGGTTGTCAGTAGGTAAGAATCACCAAATAACTCTTGGTTTCTTTATAGCCTTTAAGTGTTGGTTGTCTACAGCTGGTATTTAGTTATAGGTGGATGAAAGAAARTAGAATACATCCTGATAATCTAAAATGTGGCTGTTTTCTGAAGCTAGTGTCTGATATACAGGACAGTTTTAAATTGAAGCTGAAACTTGAAATTTTTGTTGTCAGAATGTAGTAGTTGTTCTTTCCCTCACCTTTCTTTATTCCTTCTCTTTTTTCACTTCATGCCCAAAATACCTGTATCCATTGAATGAAAGTGTGATACCATTTTGAAAGTATGTTCTTCATTACTTCRTGTCTTCTGTGTGTGTGTGCGCGCATGTGTATAATTCTGTGACACTAAAATGAAAGTTACGCGTCTTCATCTTCAAAGTAGAATCTGATTACATTTTATTGCAAATTATATTATTGAAAAATAGCTGTTGATTTTAATTGTATTGATTCTGTTCTTTGTATTGTTGATTTTTGTTATAGCTACATAATGTTTTTATTTTCCTTCTTTAGAAAGCTGTGGGGTTTTCCATTGACACTACTCTACTGTTGATTAACTTGATCTTGAGCACAAATTCTGAATCATTACTGAATGTTGCTTGTTTTTTCTCCATACTTTCCAAAAGGTCTTTCAGCCATTCTGTAAAGAATAAGTCAATTTCCATTTTAAGCTGTGCAAAGAAATAATTTCATTGAACTGGCTACACTTAGAGTAATCCAGCACAATCAATAAAGTCTGTAAAAAAGGTTATGACTTAAAATGCAACATAATCATCAATATCTTTTCTTAAAAATGCGTCTTTGATCTTACTGCGAAACAGAATTGCATTAAAACTGCAACTTTTCTTATGTCTTCTCCCTTCTGTGCTGCTGTTTGTCTGCACCCTGAATCATACTAGCGCGAGGCAGCCGCATTCCTCGGCCTAGTGTGAGTCAGGGCTGCAGTCGGGAGGCCAGCCGTGAAAGTAGCAGGGACACGAGCCCTGTCCGCTCTTTCCCACCCCTTGGTAAGTACTYGGAGCCCCTTGTCGTGCATGGCTGTCCTTGCCCTTCCTCATKTGCGCCTAACGAATCTGTGCCTCCTTCATTTAGCTTTGTAGCTGGCCACCATGTTCTCCCTTTGGCTCTCTCCCCACTCACCCCGATGGAGAACTGATCAATGTGTGAATGGGTTGCACACTGGGAAAATACACACTTTGCTAGTGTCAGTCTGAAGTACCAAGTCTAGAAAGGTGTGTCATCCAGATGCCTCTTTCGAAAAGGCACTCCTGGTTTTGAAAATTTTATTGAAGTTGTGTGTTTCTCTTTTCGTTGCAGCACTCATTGCTTGGGTACTTGAGTGCAGGGTGAGCTGTTGCTCAAAATTACCTACCTAGTCGATGAATCATTTGGTGTATGTAAGAAGAAAATTCACTTAATTGTGTCCCCTTAACTGTATGGTCAGCAGCTTATTGGTCTGACACAAATCACAAGATTTTATAAGATTGTCAAGGTSTTTCTGAGATGTCAATGAGGCATAAGAACAATAGTTTATAATTGACATGTTGTTGGTTTAAGATTAGGGATGGCTCTCATCTCCATGTATCCTTGTCAAGGTTACTGCAAAGTAAATTTTGGTTAAAGTAGTTTTGCATATTAGGTTTGTGAGTTGGGAGGTTTTTTTGATTCTTTGGTAATACCAAACTCTTTCTGTGCAATTGTATCTGAAACAGATCTTTTTTTGATGTTACCTTTGTCTGAAATAGTCTTCAGTGTGTATCCTTTTTATTTGGTTTGTTCAGTGTAGCTTGCAGTTAATGATTTTATAATACTAGCTGTTAAATATAGTCCAAAAATAGTAAATCTTGGTTTTCTATCTCAAATTGAGGCACCCAACTGTACTCCTAATTAGCACTGGACATATGTTGTGGTCTGTTAGGGCTTCCTGCCAGCCRTGGTTTTATTGGGAGAGTACAGATTAATGGAATGAAAGCTGTTTCAATAACTAATGCTAGTTTGCCCAGATGCTGYTTCATTGGGAAGTGATACTAAAAGTAAATGCTATGCAGTTTCCATTAGGAGACTTGTATCTTTTTTTCTAAAACACAGATGAAAGATTGTGTTGAAGTATGCGCGTACCTTCCATTCTTTTTTTAAAAAGGGTGTTTAGCAGAACTCTTTGTCCATCTTTTGCTGCCTTACAGCTTGATTTGAATTGCATGGACACAAGATCAGATTTACATCTTGTAATGGGTCAAGTGCTTGTCATCTGAAGAGCTGTGTATTAATACCACAAGACGTGTTGCTGGGATAAATGCCACTGGAGGGGTTTTTCTAAGTGATGTAGTTCAGTTTTATAATTCAGATATCAAAACAAGTACCTATACTAGTGAAATAGGTGGAATTGTTTGATAGTGCAGAAAATGCAAAGTAACATGTATAGGAATCCAACATTGGTTTAAAAAAGAAAAGGCAATTATACTTGGAAGAAATTAAGATTCCTTTTAGGATGACATTTGATTTGAATTATTAAAATGGCATTCAGTGTTTTGTTGGACCAGTTTTATCTTACAGGATGCTATTAATTTTTACCAAAAATACCAGATTTAGTGTTTTTCAGGAAAAAAGTGAAAGATGAAATAAGGCTAATTCAGCTCTGTGTAGCTAGASACAGTTTGACTTGAAGTTGAAGAGGGGAATGTAACTTGCATTGTATCTCATTCTCAGCACAGATATTTTTGCTTACAGATGCAAATAAAATAAAAATGGATTTAACCCCCTTTAAGGTRTAAAATGACCTAAATGCTACATAAYTGTGTCACTGTATACATTGGTATGAAGTGTTTATGTMATCTCATATCTCTGTATAATGTTATAAACTGGGAGATAAGAACCAKTGAGAAGCAAGGGATTTGTAATTTATATAGATGTGTCTATTTTTGTTAAATATAGTTAGTATTAGATATCAGACCAGTATAATGTCTGTATTTTAGTTAAGAAGTTTAGTTCATTTGAAGTCTTAATTTGATTCATCCTTTAAAAAAAGGAAAAGTCAAAAGTAATTACTTGATGATTTCTGCAGTTTGAATATACAAAGAATATTCTTGAAAATATGTTTTGGAATGAGATACGTTTCACCCAAGGCAAAGTGCTTTTTTCACTGTCTTAAAATCTTGTCTAGCATATTTCAAATGTATATAGGGGCAGGAATCATTTCAAGTTACTTGCCTGAAGTTTGAATTTTTAATTTTCAGTTGTACCTTTCAGGGCTCATTGATGGAAAGTAATGGAAAGGTTTATCCTATTAATGCTTGTGTATTAAGAGCTGTCAGCTGTGATGTCTGTATTGTGACATCCTCAATCCTGTCTCCTTTTCCATGCCGAGATTCACTTTCTGAAGAACCAAATATTCCACAAAGCATTAGTTTCAARATAAAATGCCCTAGCCAAATATCTTCATGCAGGATTAATTAGAAATAAAGTRTATCACTGTACCTTATGTAAGGAGTGGAGAAATTAATGTGGAAAGACTGTGTTGTTTCTGGGGTCTTTATGGGACTTAATATCATTATGGAGTGCACTCAGGTTAAAAGGTGTGCTTCCCCAAATGTCATTTGGTCCATGTTAGTGTTATGTGATTCAAATCAGACTCTTAAATGGCCTTTGTTAATCAGAGAAAAGAACTATTAGTTTTCTTCCTGGTTTCTATTTATGCTACTTTATGTACTCAAAAAGTGAAAAATATTTGCATTTACAGTTATATATTAAATCATAAGATTATATCTCGGATTTATGCCACTGTGGGTGGACATTTGAATTCAAGTTAAAATTGTCATTTTTGTGGCAGTGAAATGCTAACTTGAATGAACTGAAGAAAGAAGGTGAATTGTTTAAAAACACATTTCGTATTAAAATTGCTTATTTCAAGAAAGAAAATACTAGCAATGGTGAGTCAGCTACTTCAGAATTGCTGAAAACCAGAATTGCCAAAAACAGGTTGCACAAGGAGMGGGATACTGAGTTTTATTCAGAAATCCTTGAGGATCTTCAGTTTCCATAACCTTAAAGAATCTGAATGAGCTGTAGTAATTGTGTTTCAATTTCATATTTTATTTATGTTTGTTATTTATTATGAATAAAACAGTAAGTATGTGAATCATTAATTGCTTTGACTTATGTTAAAATTTTAATTATAATTGGATTATTTGAACTTTGATTTACAYAGTGGTGAGTTTTAACTGAGGTTGAGTTGTTTGCAGCGTAGGCAAGAATTCAAGTGTGTACAAATTGTCAGCTGCCAACCCAGTGGGTTTGTGCAGGGGGCACTTTTTTGCAGATAATGTTTCATGTGTGAGCTCTGGCTCTGACTCGAGCACACAGAATTTAGTTAAGTCTATGGTGCAAGATCAGTTTCAGTGCACTGATAATTTGTTAGGTATTTGTCATGATTCTGTTTGTGTGTGGGTGTGTGCATGTGTGTCTGTGCACCTTTTCTTCTTTGAACTTAAACGTTCTTGCTTTTAACCTGCTCTTAATCTTTTAAATTACAAAAAAAATATGCATGAAATATCCATTGTACATAAACCTATGTAATCATACTCTGTATAATACAATCAAAGAACTTCCCTGAAGATTTTTGCTTCTGTTTAATACTCAGTTTCTTGCGCTTTAACTGAATATTTTTCWTAAATATTCTCTTGTTCATCTGAGCAAGTATTGCAGCACTTTGTTTCCATGGTCATAGATAGGGTTTATTTAATCCTGTTATTGCAGCTTCCAGACATCACTCCAGATCCACTGGTGCCCTCTACGCTCCTGATGCTTATGGGGCCACAGGTGAAGGATGAGTACCCTTTGCTGTCATCTGTGCAGTCATCCTGGATTTTTTTTTCCCACCCACTTGATTATTTTCATAGTTCAGTTTTAGAAAGCATTATTTATATTAATTTGAGTTTTGTGGTTTTAATAATCCAGATAGATGTGTTTATGTTGCTAGATTTTATCTCTACCCTCATCCTCCGATATTAGTTCTTTTTTCTTTAACATGTTTTTATTTGCAGAAGACCTTTTTTTAGTTTTCCATGTTTTTAGTATTTGTAGAGCATTCTTTATGCATGTAGTTTTCTAATCAACAATTTCAGTAGCCTTCCTATGATATTAGCTTTCTTTCTAAATGAAAACAAAAACCCAAAATGAAGAAGACACTATTAAAAAAAAAAAAAAAGGCAACGCTTCTTTCAGATAAAACCATTATTTTGTTGGGGTTTTTTTCCATGTGATATTGGAGCAGAATGTTTGTAGGTGACTGGTTTTTTTTTTACTTGAATTCTTAATTTTGTCTGTACCACTAAAGACTTCAGAATAAAAATGGTTATTTTATCCTCTRCATCGTTAATTAAAAATGTTAAACAAATGCTTTTCTTCTGCTTGGGTTTTTATAAGTGAGCATGGTATTTACATCCCAGCTTTCTATTCTGATTGAATTCTCTATTTATTTTTGTTGTTTTAGCAGGTACTGGCTTTGGAATTAGTCAGTCGAGTAGATTGTCATCATCAGTCAGTGCTATGCGAGTTCTGAACACAGGTTCTGACGTGGAAGAGGCAGTAGCAGATGCTTTGGTAAGAATCTCACACTAACCTTGTAGGTTACAAGCTCTTAAAATGTTTGGTACCTGTACATTAAAGTATGCAAAAGACCTTGTCATTTGTTATTTTACTGGCTTCTTGGGGAAAAAGTAGAAAAGAAACTTGAGTTGTTGGAGCTGCAAGTATTGGAATTTTCATTCCCTACAGACGTTTTAACTTTTGAGAAACAAGTGTTTTTCCATGGCAGATGGGAAATAATCTTGGACTGTGTTGGAGTGGCCCAAGGAGCCACTTAAGCAGGTAGCAGTGACCAGCAGTTTCTCACAGTAGCCAGAAAAACCTCGGGRTAGGTTGCAGGCTTGTTAGAGCTGGGAAAGATGACAGCTAAAGCCCTCTGCTTACCATGAGCCTAAGTGCCATTTAGTTTTTCTGTGTGATGGGAGGTGACATTGATACTGAAGAGAGAAACTGATGATTGGGCAGCCAGGCCTCCACAGCCACTCACTCACTCCCCAGAGTGAGGTCAGAGAGACAATCAGGAGGGTAAAAGCCAGAAAACTCATGGGCTGAGATAAAGACAGTTTAATAGAGAAAGCAAAACCCATGCATACAGGCAGAGCAAAACTGCTCACCTTGGGCAGGCAGGTGCTTGGCCATTGGCAGGAGAGCAGGGCCCCATCACACCTAACAGTGATTTGGGAAGGGATACACCATACTTCCAGACATCCCCCTCTTCCTCTTTCTTCCCCTCACTTTATATACTGAGCATGATGTCATGGCTGGAATGTCCCTTTGGTCACTTGGGGTCACCTGTCCTGGCTGTGTCTCTCCCAACCTCCCCTTCACCCCCAGCTTCCAGGCCAGCATGGCTGTAGGAAAAGCAGAAAAGGCCTTGGGTCTGTGTGAGCCCTGCTCAGCAACAACAAAAACATCTCCGTATTATCAACCCTGTGTTCAGCACAAATCCAAAACACAGGCCCACACCGGCTCTGTGAAAAAAATTACCTCTACCCCAGCCAAAACCAGCACAGCAGGTAGCATCTCATGAGCTTAGCTTTTTGTTTCCTTTGTTTTCAAAATGTTACACTTAAGTTCAARCTGGCTATGCCATTCTTTTTCTTTAACTATACAATTCTTTTAAAGAGTGGGTGCTCTTCTGCCTTCATACCCCAGTTACCAAACTGAAYACATCATGTATTTTGCTATTCTGACACATCAGCAAGCTGAAATCTTCAGTTAATTTAAAATACTGATGCTATGAATGAGATACATTTTTATCAGATACTGTATATTATTTGCGTATCACTAAATTCCTGTAAGAACCTGTTTTCCAGTTATCAGAATGCTTTAAAGAAATGGTTATTTCTCTGGTTTTAAAAAAACTTATTTTGAAAGTTAGTAAAAGACTACAAGTTAGACTAAAAAGATAATTACAGCCAGATATAACTGAATAGAGAAAAACAAAATKTCAAAATCTGAAGAACTCTGGCATATTCTTAGTACGACAAATTATTGATTTTTTGGTAAATACATTTTTCTTGACACATTAGTTTAAAATATGTGTGCCTTCACTGGCATAGAGATCAGAATACTGTAAAATCTTGCCTAAGAGGTGATTGTGAAGTTGAGTGCATTTTCCCCTTTCTGTTATTGCAAACTTTCAGCAAGTTTTCAGCATTGGTGGTGAATGCTGATTTGTAAACTGGAAGTTAGTCTGGATTTTGGAATAGGGAACAATAGAAAAAGAGTCCATGGAACATGGAAATTTTCTGTCTATAAATGGAAAGCCTGTGCAATAGTCTTCTCCACATAGGTGGTTCACAAAGAGTATTTTTAGTACTTGTAGCAGCCTCCTAGCTTACTCAAATTTAGCTGGGCAAAGTAGGTAGTATGAATAGAAGTTGATGAGAAAGTCATGTTTCCCATGACCGCTCTTGAGRCTTGAATGTGTCCTGCTTTGTTGAAGCAATAAAGTTTCTTCACAGAGAATTGTTTGCRTTATATGGATCCAAAATATCATGATGCTTCTAGAAATGTTAGAGGAAAATCAGTTTGTATATTTTAACTAGAGTCTGACATTACAAGGAAGGATCAAGAATTACAACATTTTATTATTGTAGTATTTGCATGCCTGGTTCCTTGCCATGCTCTAAATGGTACAGGTTGTCCTGTACAGGTGGCTCCATTTAGATGGAAATCTGGTTATAAACACTCTTGTTTCCTCATAGACTGAAGATTCATAGTCATAATGGTATTTTTAAAAGGTAGAGTCCTGACTTAAGTAATATAAAAATATTACAGGTTGTGTACTGAACCAGTTTTAATACTGTTTAAGCCAAAGAGGTATCAGTCTTCTGCCTAAGATGTTTTGAATATGCTGCATAGAATGCAGCAATAATGGGAATCCTGACATATTTTTGTGTCTTTTACTTTAGTACAGTCCTTGATATTACAGATCCATTTATTGAAAAGGCCTTTTTTTTTCCTTATGGTGTCTCTTTTCCAAAACACTTAATGTCTTWGTGATTTTTTTCCTTCGGTTATTCTCTTACACATGTATGTATGCCTGTTCTGTTGACAACAAGTCTGTTACCTGCTATATTGTTCAGTTTGTAATTAGTATTGTGATATCCTTTAAGTAATTCTGTGGTTAAAAATAAGAACCTGAGTAAACACCAGTGGTAAKTAAGGGGAAGACAATCACTTACACTACTGCTTTTTTGAGTATGTAGGGAAACCRAGTTTGTAAATGCTAACTTCAGCTCCAAAATTTGAATGGCAAGAGCTTTTTTGCAGAGGTGTGTGTTTTTTTTCATTTTAGAATAAATAGCCTTTTTTTGGCCCTCTCACATTTGGCATGTTGTGTTTTGTTTTGTTGTCCTGTTTTTGTTTTTAGGAGRTTTGGGATTTGGTAATAAGTATTTTTGTAGAACATTGACTGTAATTGTTTCAGTGGCAGAATTTAGATATTAAATAGTTCAAATCAAGATGTTGTAGTTAGATAACAATTGACTGCATGCGTTAAGTCTTCGTGCTCAAATATCACTGCGTAAGACACAAAGATTTTGGCAGAGAAGTCTTTGTGACCAACCTGCCCATGATAYGTAATACTTCCCTGGAAATGGAAGCTTAGAAACTACCTCTTGACAATGTGTAATATGCTGATCAGAAACACAGAGCTAAGAACAAAAGTTTCAGTAAGACTATATGTTGTCCAGTGGCAGGGAGTTTATTACTCATAGTGCTGCTATGCCTTACCTTCCTGTTCTCAATTTCTGTTTCTTTTCAATAATTTACTGCTAACAGCTCTTAGGAGACATACGGACTAAGGTATAGAATCTATTTTTCTTCTTCAATAGTTTAATATTTTGCTATTAACATGTTTGGTACAAAATGAGTTTAAATGTCAAAATATGTTTAGACCTGATTCTGATATTCTGTAGCATATATAAAGCTATGACATGAAATAACTAACTTGCAACAGTCTTTGTCGCCCTATGATGCCATTTTATGGGTTTTTGTAAGAAAACCTTAAGTTCGGTGTTTCATCAAATGTATGTCTTCCCTGCATTTGCTCTGGGTTTATATTTGGAATACTATATAAGCTGTAGTTTAAAATATTTTCATTAACTTGGTTTGACCTGCTGAACCATTGGAGCTATTTATCACTGCAGGGAGTAGGGTCACAGCAGTTTATTTAAACTGTTGGTCTTTTGACCCATTATGGGTGTGTTACATGATCTMCTTAAGAATCAGTGCTGATCTGGAGTGTCTCTGTACAATAGAAGAAGCCCGTGCGAAGAAGATATGAATCGTATGGGATGTACTCAGATGATGATGCCAACAGTGACGCATCAAGTGCCTGTTCAGAGAGGTCCTACAGCTCCAGGAATGGGAGCATACCAACCTACATGAGGCAGACGGAAGATGTGGCTGAAGTCCTGAACCGCTGTGCSAGCACCAACTGGTCAGAGAGGAAAGAAGGCCTTTTAGGCCTGCAAAACTTACTAAAGAACCAGAGAACTCTAAGGTAAGAAGATCTGAATTGGGAAAAACATTTTGTTTCAAAGTTGTTGAGAGGCAGCAGGGGGGAGGGAAAGCAAGAGTGTCAGAGAGTAAGATGGGGGAAGGAATAAGGAAGCTTTTTTCACCTCTGGCTATTAGTGTTTATTTATATACTAGTATATGTAGTGACTTCAAAATTGAGAATTCTTGCAATACAGAAGATTCCTAAGATGCTTCCATCAACTATCAATGGAAGGCTTTTTTTTATTACTACTATAATTTTGGGGCTATTTATTCAGAAGAAATTGTTTACTGTTCACCACTAAGAACACTTTTTTAATTATGTGCTCTGTTACAMAAGGATGGTATAATATATGAGGCAGTTTAAAGAAACATTTTTAGGTTTTAAGTCTCATTTTAGATGAAAGCTTATTACATGTTTTCCCGTGTCTTAAACAAAATGCTTTCCTCTRCTTCATTTGCTATATTATTTGATTCAATATTTATACTTGATTTCACTGATTGCTATGCATGAGTGATTTAGTATAACTAGCAAGGGAGTTGACTAATGTATTGTTATCACATTGACAGTCGTGTTGAGTTGAAAAGATTGTGTGAGATCTTCACAAGAATGTTTGCTGATCCTCACAGTAAGGTATGTTTAGGTTTTTCGTATTTCCAGTAAATGTCTGAAAACATAAATTAACAGAAAGGCGCTTATGGCAAATTATGCCAGTGATATTTGCACGTGTAAAATTTGACAAGCAAAAGCAGTTAATGCTATCACGTTTCAATTCGTTTCATTTGCAGTTTTGAACAAGATCATTTTCTCCCTTTTTCTGCAGGATGATTGGAGTAACATGAAGGTTAATGTCATAAAATGCATTAAAATAATTCAGCCGTTCGTGCTCAAAATTTGTATTTTTAAGAAGTCATTTACAGAGGCCACTTAAACACAAGTAGAGATTGTCTCTCAATTAGAAAGAACGGTTCTGCAATAATTTAAGTTATAATGTTGACTGACTAAATCATACATAATCAGATAAACTATGCCAAATGTGTACTAACTTATTTTCCACTATATTTTGTATTATGATAGCTTATGGCATCTTCTATGGCTTTCACAGATAGGGCTGGCAGTKGAGACTGATGAATAATTTTTACATGATTTTTTAATATTCAGTAAGGAGACTATACTTYGTTATAAAAGAAAATGTGGTGTTTTATTCAGTTTTGCTTAGGTAAAGACTCAGTATGGATGATAAAACAAGGAGAATGATCTTTCCATTTTCTAAGACCATTAAAATCTTTGTAACTGAATTACTTTCTTGATAGTATTTTTATAGTTTTTGTGGGAGGTGGGTTACACATACAGCTTGATTAAATGTTGCAATTTCTCATAGCAGAAGGAATGCAGGTAAGTAAGGASCCTAATAAATGTAATAATGTAAAAAAAAAGGAGTAACTTTGCATTTAATTATAAGCTTGTTGGAAGAAATATTATCTTTTATATTGAGCATAACATGTACCGCTTTGTGTCCACATTTCAGAATTATAACCCAGATAAATTCAGAGCAGAGTATTATTTCAGAAGCATTGACTTTTCCTAGAAGAGATCTGAAAAACTACTTTGATGAAGCAATACATTTTACATATTTTTAAGTCTTCCTTAATTGCTACAAGGGAAAAATAAATTCAGAGTGATGCGAAGTCTTGACATGATAACGGAGTGTTCACCTGTCCTCTTTATCTTTCCTGTTGGAAAAAGTGACTTAGCTGCTGTCTGACASCATCTGTTCTGGAAAAAACTTGCATTGCAGACAGCAACGTGRTATTAAAGTTGCTCACATACTGCAGAAATCTAAAAGAAAAGAYTAAGCCAAGCAGTTAAAAAGAAGATGTTACATAAAAAGAAAAGTCAAAGCAGAGGAAGGAATATTAAATGTTGAAATACTGCTGGTTTTTAAATGAAGTAATGACGAAATTCTGATTAGCAGCTTGGTTTAATTTTTCTTGTTCTGTGTTAATTAATACTGCAGCAATGCATATGTGAGAGCTACCATGGAGATTTTATTGTAGTGTGGGAGCCAGGGAAGGCTTATGAAAACGTTAAAAACTTCAGTTGTACATGTCAGAAGAGCATTTTACCTTTCAAATAAGCCTTTAAGAWTGTTGCATTGAGTTGTTTTAGTTGATTGTTCCATTTACTGGCCACTGTGATATGAAATGAAGTAGCTTCGAGTTTGAAAATTTGGCCTGTCTTGTAACATGTGGCACATTTGTTCCAGTCACTGAAACCTTGCCTGCTTTTCRGTGTTGCAAAACTATTATTGGTTAACAATTCTTTAAGTATTAAGAGTTCATGCATTGTGATTTTTTTTTTTTAATCACACACATACGTCTACATAAATTTCATCTTAGACTCTACTTAGGTGTCTGTAGGAATTATTCTGTCATCACTTTTGTTGGGTTTTTTTAAGGTTTACTTTAATATGGTATCTGGATGATGGAAGTTATATAAAATAATAGAGTAATAATATTTGGAGGAGAAAATGGGAGAATGACTTAAAGGACATGCTAAGTGCTWATTTAAAAAATACATTGGGTATCCCAATAAAATTACTAAATTTGTCATAAAAGTTTTGAAATACCTTTTTTGTTTTGTTTTGGTTTATATTCCATACAGGAATCTCGTATTGATGGCCACTAATTTGTGTGTTTTTATCTTTTTCCCTTTTTTGTTGTTTTTTTTTGTTTTGTTCTGTTTTTGTTTCGTTTTGCATGCTGTCCCCTGTGTTGGAACTCTCTTTAGAGAGTAAGTTGGTTCAATATTTGTTGGAAGCCTAACCTTACTTGCATGAATGTGCAATTAACCCTTTTCTCTACTTTTCTTCCCCAAAGAGTTCATGCAGTGTCAAGCCTTTTGCAATCATAAAATGCTATAAACGATTAGTAAACTGTGTGGTAAAGTTTCAAGATGTGCTTTATCTACTAATTAACTGATATTGTTTGGTTATGCATTTCTGCTTTATATTGTGGTGGTTGGCACATCTGAAATAATTCACTTTAGRGGTAGATCACTTACAATTATTTCCATATCTGTTTATTTTTTTCCACTATCAAATTATTAAAAACTTCAACTYTAAATGGTTAATTTCAGAATTTTAGTTTGTATCATAAAAAATGAAAACTGCAATTTTTGCAGTACCCACATACATTGTTCAACATATAGGTGGTTGAGTTCCATTGTCCATTACAAATTCATCCTTTACCTTAAATGCCCTTTCAATCTTAAAATCTTCATGCTGAGAGAAAATTATATGCTTAGTTTTTGGTTTTTTTTTTAATGCAACAAAATTACTCAGCTCATTTGAGTTTTCTTTAGACATTCTCTGTGGTAAATCTAAAGTAAAGCTTGAAAACAAAATGGACTCCTCAGTTATTTGTATTTTTAAAAGCTAAAATGTCAGCACAGGATCTCTTGAGTATTTACTCCGTAGTGAGTCATAATTCACTTTATAATGGTTTCAGTTTAAGCCACATTACATGTTTGAAGTGTCATCAGAAGTCCMTATTACTCCATCAAATAAGAGATGTAACCAGTGTGTTGAGCCTGTATGTTTTAATGGAAAAGCCATGTGTGTCAGTGTCTCCAAACTCAAAAAAACAGGTGCAGGTTTCAATTCTGCTGAGCTGTGTAATTTMATTTGAAGGATTTTGTAAGATAGCCACACACAATGTAATCTTCATGGCACCAGRTTTTTTGTTTGTTTGCCTGAGTCCAGTGTATTTTCTCCTTACTTTAGGGCTGTGAAAGCCAAAGGCTTCATATTACAGCAGAGAAAGTACACACTGATTTGATTTTGCCTCTTGTCTTATTACTGCGACTACTGCTTGTGCATCCACAAAATGATGAATGTTTCAGTTTAGCCTGAGACAAATGTTTCCAGTCCTGAGCATAAAAGTCTTGTCCCACTTCTGGCAGGGTAATTTTGAAACCTCAGACTTGAATACAGATCTATACAGCACAGAATTTGACAGATTTGCTTTCCAGTTTTTAATGTGATTTGCCCCAAAAGGGAAGTTAGCTTATCCTGATGGGTTTTATATTGAATAGGAATTTGTACTGTTTTGTTTCTAACACAGATTTTCAGTGTTTAAGATGTCTACTAAAGAATTTTCCCTAGTCTCTAGTAGATCCTGAAAGAATAATAAAATACCAGGTGAGAAGGAACCTCAAGGATCATTTGATCCAACGTTTCTTGGTAAAATGGTAAAATGAATTTATTCTTTATTTCTGGTGTAAATTTGGAGGCACTCTTTAAGAGTTCTTCTTTAAGGCTCTTCTTCACCACTTAATGGTGTGAATTTGATTACCCTGACTTGATTATCAACTGATTGTTTGCTGAATTCTCTCAGCAAAGAAGGCATGCAGCAGCATACGCCAGCTCCTCCATACTTGGATCAGTGCTGTGGAATAATGTCCACTTCCCTGGCCTAGWGTCTGCAGCTRTKTGAGGTGTGATCACACTTTGGGATGGAGCATCCACTCTAACAGAAGCAGTAGAATGTGACCTAATGACAAGCCAGGCCATGCAGGAGATGTGAAGTTCCAGCCCTTTCTCTGCACCAGCCTCTTCTAGTCTTGCACCCATGTTACAAATACTCAGGTGGCAATATCTGCCCACCCCTCTTGGCATCGCTGCAGTACTTCTTCTGTGCCCAGCTCTGTGCTGGACCTGGAGTGTTTGTCACTTGGGAGGGAAGCATTTTCACCCAAACACACATTTGTCTTGTCAGAGAAACAGGAAATCTGTGGGCCACACAAGTATTGAGCATATATATCCCGATTTCACTCTTAGATCTCGAAAAAACTTCAAATTAGTGAGATATACTGAAAGAGCTGTTTAAACAAAGTTACCTATTTGTCACACCTCCTTGACCCTTCCCTCTAAAAAGCCCGTCTTCCTGGTGTGAGTCTGATAAAAAAAAAATACATGGTTTTGGTTCTTCTGGTTTTGTTGTTTTTGTTTTTTTTTACCAAATGCAGTCTTTTCAACATTAGTTGTTGAAAAGAAGACAATTGATATTGTGTTTTCAAAAAAATGAAAGTACTTCTGTGTTTTAAACACCTGCCAGTCTGAAATGTATTGTGGCTTTTTTCCCTACTGTGGTKAATAATTTTGTGTTGGGATACCTGCAATAGTAGAAGAAGCTTGTTCTCTTCCACAAATATTTTATGTAAAGGAATTGGCCAGCTCTCATGATTTTGCAGTATGTAGTAATGCAGATATTTGCAATTAATATTTTGCTAAAGAACTGTAGCAGCTTTTTTTTGTTTTAAAGAGAAAGTTTTTTTTTGTAGTCTTTGAAGAATGTGTCAAATTAATTTAATGATAGAGCTTGCAAAGGTAAAAAAATGAGTTTTACTGGAAAAATTGAGGTTGCGCCAGCCATCACAGTAAGCATTCCTTTTCTTGACGAAACTGCATGGAATACCTAATTGTCAAACTTCTACAGAAGTCAGCTAACATTTCCAAAGTACTCTTATATCAAAATCCAATGAAAAAGCAAGGCAGATTTCTTTATTTTCCTTTTTTTATTTCTTTTTTTTCCTGCTTGGCTGCAAAACACTGCCTTTCTCTGCCTCTGATTCCCTTACTGCTTTCTTCGTTTGTAAGTTTGGCGTATGTCAGTGTCGTTTCCTCTTTTGCCCCATCCTACCCTCTTTCCATTTTCTTCTGCCTTTTAGGTGTTCAGTATGTTTTTGGAGACGCTGGTTGACTTCATCCAGGTCCATAAAGAAGATCTGCAGGACTGGCTGTTTGTATTGCTGACACAACTGTTGAAAAAAATGGGTGCTGATTTGCTTGGGTCTGTACAAGCAAAAGTTCAGAAGGCACTTGATGTCACAAGGTAATGAGCTCTTAAAAAGCAACAATACAGTTGTTAGCTATATAAAAGCAGGTTTTTTTCTGCTTTTCTTTTATTTGGTGTGCTGTTTGATTTCTGGAAAAATGCACAGCTCCTAACAGATCTTGAAACTTCAGTAAACCTTGGTGGTTCAGCATTTTGTTCCATAGAATGACTCTTGAATGAAAGGATTTGAGTCCTCAATGCTGAACAATTAATACAATACTGCTTATCTGTTCCAAAATGTGCATCTGAGCCATGTATGTTTGTTATCTTGCCTTGTGATGTAGAAATTGTGTTTGAGCTTCTTTATTTTGCTGTAAAAGTTTCACTGGAATATTCATCTCTCAGTGTCAGCATAGCATTTGAGTTGTGGTAATAATGGATTTGATTTTTCTCTTCCCTTCATTCTCCCAGACTTCACTAATAGCCTGATGTAGAACCAGAATTCTACCATATTATTATCGTATCATTCTGTATTACTTGCATTATCTATTCTAGCTATAATTGCTTCATAGCAAGAGTTCCTTAAATCTTGTCCTTTATGTGCTAGGCAAATATTTCTGAAAGGTCAGATACGGTAGCAACTGGTAGCAATTTCAGCTTTACTTAAAAGGGTGAGGGCTTATTTAGTGCCTCTCAACAGGTGTTAAAAAAAAATTCATGTAGCTTAATGTAGTTCTGTTTGTTTACAGGGAATCTTTTCCAAATGATCTCCAGTTCAGTATTTTAATGAGATTTACTGTTGACCAGACCCAAACACCTAGCCTGAAGGTAAGACTTTTTAGGCTTGCTTGCAGGCAGAAATCTTCATTGATAGAAATTTGCTTGTCTTAATTTGGATTGTTATTTTTGTTTTGTTTAAAAACAAAGGAAAAAAAAAGGTTTTCAATTAGTGGATTTTTTTTTGTAAACTTTCAGACAGTCCAGCCAGCACTGCAGGACCAGCTTCGCTCTTTTTGGAGCTCAAAGGTTTTTGTCTGAATTACTGTCTTTATTATTCTTAACCCTATGTGAAACTCTTACAGTGTTACCAATAATTTTTATTTGAATGCATTGTATGCTGCTACTAACCTTTGCGGGAAACTTTAAGCATGCAGGTGCTCAGTTTTAAACATGACACTAGTATGAAAATGTTTGCTGCAAGAGAGATCTAATAAAAACASAGTACAGTAAAAATGAGCAACAAAAATGTGGCTGCCTAACATCAAGCTGGTTATGCAAACTCACTCTATCAAGTCTTTTCTAATTTTATGTTTGTGATTTCCCATACTTTTTTTTTAGTTTGTATATATTTTTTCCTGTGTTCAGCCTGATAGGCCTTGAGTTACTTTAAATTATTRTAACATTAATATGAACTTGAGTTACTATATTAAAAATCAGCTCCCTCTGTGGTACACTTTACTTCCCTGGAAACAGTATGTAGCTTATTTATTACAATTTTTACATAAGAATCTATAGTCCATAAGCCTGCCAACATATCTGAAAAGTAAAAATGTATTCTGTAGTACATTTGCAGTTCCAAAGAGCATTGATTTTAGAATAAATGCATCAAATCCTTAGAAGATTTATAAGTTATATGAATGGGGAAATAACAAGCATATGATAACTGGCATCTTCTGCTCTATCCTGCACGAAATATTTTTACAGTTTGATACTGCACAAGAATATGACTTTTCCCAAGTTATGTTGAACCAAAGTCATGTGAATWTGCCTTTTTTGTCTACAATGCAATAAAACTTAATTTTTAAGCTTTTGAGGACAGGTGATACGTTGACCACTGTTGCTTCGTAGAGCTGTGTTAAAAAGGGACTGCTGTCATTTATTGAAGACAGCAAATGAGGTAGTAAAAATGAGTTTGTTGTTTAAATGAATCCTTGGAAAAAATTGAGATTGGTTTTATTTTACATGGTTTTCTTCCCCAGGAAGGTGAATTTGATGGTTCTCTTTTCCATACAGTAGTGTATAGCTGGTAAAGGCATATCAAGCTGAGAGTGTATATTTGTATATTTCAAAGCTGAGAGTGTAGATTTGGAATGAGAAATGGACTCTTACTGGGCTGAGTTGGGACTAAGTTCAAGATACTCCCCTTATGGCCTAGAAGGAATTAAGAAATACGAACACTGAACTTATTCTGAAAATATTTCCTAGTATTTGCCAGAATTCTGAAATCGAGATGTCAGTAAAAGTTATCTCCATAGAAGGACACCTGTTAGCTTGAAACAAAATCATAAGTATTTAGAATGAAATTTTGGTATGTATGTAACTGTTTAGGAGAAGGTAAGCTTCTTTTTCCAGAAGAGAGTGGAATCTCCCCTCTGCTTCCTTTTTRCATGGTAATTACAGCTTCTGGATTCAGACAGTGAAATTCCTGCCCACAGATCACAGAACTATCTATTTAATATTCACATTATTGAGTATTCTAACAGAATAATTGATAATCCTAGAGGACTACTCTAATTCTGGAAGTCTTAAGCTTTTGTTCTTTGATAAATTRTTATCTCATTGCCTTTGGTCTAGCATTCACTGTGACAGGAAAAAAATCAGAGAGGATTTTCTTTCATCTTTCTTCCCTAAAGATGGTCAGATATAAGGAGGGATGGTACATCATAAATTTGAGGCGTGGAACAACTCCTTYCTCCTTTCTGGTTTTCACATGGTAGTGGTAAATAATCATGATCCTTTGGAGTAAACTGTCATTGCCATTCTTACATTTAGAAAGACAGCCAAGTCTCAGAGAGTAAAACATGAGCTTTTAGAGTGGTYGTGGAGGTGGATGTGGATAGCTGGGCAGTGAGAAGACCAACCATAGAGAGGATAGAATTCTACTGACCTAATCCATGGAGGATGCAGCTTAGTGTATTGTGTTGTATCTTTCTTACTCCTGCAGTCATTTTACACTTAGGTGTGGTAAAYTGCTGAGACTCAGTTTAGWGGTGCCAGATTCATGTGTCTGTTCTGGTCAGATGTTTAGATGGGCATGAGAGTCAAATGTTCTCAATAGGATATCGTGTATTTAGTTTGTTTTCGCAGATGCAAAGCATACAGTTTCCAAAGGATGGATGTTTTCCTGAAATACACTTCCAGCCATCACTTMATTTTTCTTGGGTTTCATATAAAAATGCCTCAGCCTCAGTGAGGAGTTGATTTAAGCCTTGTRACYGAAGTTCAAGTTTCTGAATATTGCCAATATCTTCATTTTGAAAATACTGATTTGTTGAMAAAGGTTTTTGTCACAATTGATCAGAAGATTTTTTTTTCTTAATTTAAGTCAATATTGAAATTTCTGGATTTCAAAACCCCTGAATAACACAGATTTGCAGCAATGAGAGAACCCTCCAAAATGTATCTGTAGTGTATACTTTAGTCCTTTGGTTAAATAATGGCACAGGCAATCACTCCTAAATATCCAGCAACTCGGAGACAGACACTTGGGATGTGTCAGTCTGAAATTCGCCTTGAGTGATTGCTTGTATTCAATCTGAGTAAGGCAGAGCACAGTCTCTCACATCCCAGAAAGCCACTGTAGGAAGTGTAAACCTGACTGGTTTCTGGTTTAAGTAAAAGCACTTCTCTATAATCCTTTCTTYTTTTTTYTTTTTTTTTTTTTTTTTCGCTGTTACATAAAATGTTACTGTTCTCGTACCTGTATCCAGCAAAAAAAACCTGTAGATGTCAAATTTTTTGCAGGACAGGAAAACAGTTTGCCCTCTGGTACTATTTCCTGAATATCTGGAGGTAGTTGCACATATTTTTGTGGTAGAACTTGTTGTTTCAGTATATGTGAAAGATGTTTATGAAGCACTTTAGTTCAATTTTTGTATAATCTTTTTAATTTTTTTTTTGGTAAGTCGCAGTGCTTACTGTGGCTTCATCTATATTCCAGCTTACTTACTACAAGAACTCTCGTGGGCTGTTCTTAAATAAAATGCCTGTCCATATTACATGCTGTACAGGAAAATGCCCCAATGTTTATAATTCAGCAAAAGTGCAATAAATTCAACCCCTAGAAGAGTACAAGAGTACAAAGAAGATACAAAGAAAGTCAAGACAGTATTAAATGACTTCATGGAGAGTGGTTTCAATTTTAGAGCAAATACTTACTGTAAGAATTCTGGAGATCCTTTCATTGCAGTMTAGAATTTTTTCTCTCAGATTTAACGGATTGTTGAAGACATTAAATGAATTGTTGAATATGTTAGTCCTTTTGGTTCTGAATTCCAGCTCTGTATGTATTTACTGGAAATACTGGCAAAGATACATCTAAAGTAGATTTGCTGCTCTTCTGGAGTTATTTCAACATGGGGTTTTTAATCTGTAATAAATAGTGGCTTATTATATCTGACCATCGAAAAGTGTAGCCCTTCCAGAATTTCTTCTCTCAAAAGCAATCAGTGAAAAATGCTTTTTTTTCAAAATAGCTGTCAAATTTAGCTTTAGTAATCTGTCTCACTGTGAAAAGCTTTATTAGTAAGAACTCCCTCCATGCATCTTCTGTTCAGTGCTCTTCTGAGCGCCTCCATCTTTGCAGAAYTGTCTGAGTTCCACAGRAAGCAGTTAAAATACTAAATAATCRTSCTTTCTCAGATACAGCACTTGAGAGCATCTTCATTGGGAGAAATGCCTCTGGGTGTTCTAAAAGCATTACAGTCCTTAACAGCAACTTTTGCAAGTGTTACATAGGATTTATTTAAATCCTCAACAGTCAAATGTTGTGGTGTCACAGTGGTTTCACTAGGTAATCTAGAAATCTCAGCTATTGCTTTGAATTTGCAAAATCATGTGGTCTAAGGTTTTTCACTGCAGAGATGTTCATGGCTTGTTTTTCCCTTGGAAAATACCTAGCAAATAGTGTGCATTTGTTGGTACTGATCTGCATAAGATGAAAGCCTCCAGCTGTTACTTGTAAACTTCAGAGAAGTTGAGCTTTAAAGCTCCTTTGAAAGTTCATTATTAATACTCATGTCTGTGTGCCAGTGTATCTTGAGTTTTTAAAAGCTTGCAAGTTTCATGACCAATAGAAATTTCTAAATAGCTTTACTCAGAACAATTGTACTACAAGCCATGAACAACCAGAAATACACYTGGAACTGTTTTTCTCTCTGTTTTTTATGGACTTAGGTCTCTCCCTCCTGGKAGGTATTTCTGGTTCATTATAATTATTAGTGGAAATAAAAGCAACTATGTCAGATAGGTGGCTTGAGTAAATGTCCATGACTTTCATTGACGGGTTAGGTGACAGATTTCTGGGGCAGCAGGAGTTGAGGAAATAAGTATTTTAGACATACACACGCATAAGAGCTCTTTGCCCAAAACTGCAGTGGTGCARTATGACAGAAACCAGAGAGGCTGCAGTCTGGGATCTACAAAACGGGGATTCGGCGTAAGGAGTAGAGCAAGTTAGTGGAGTCAAAGAATGATCAGATAAATGAGGGAGTACAGGAGCTTTTCTGTCCTGATAAATCCATATCTCTATCATCTGAGTATCTTCAAACAAAGTGTGCATGTGACCCCTCTAAGTATTCTCTATAAATTCCATTCCATACATTTTTAGTATTTAATGGGAACATTCCTGTGGCTTATTCCCAAAGACAGTGACTGCTCAACCCTGATGTTTTATRAAAAAGCACTGAGTGTTAACTACCTAGTAGGAACTAGTAATAACTKATCACTGGTTTATTTTTCATTTTACTACTTGAAAAACTTTCTTAATAATTTTTTCTTAATTTCTTTTTTTTTAAGTATAAGCTTCTGCATATGCAGTGATTTATGTCGTTTAGTTGSTAGCAGTGAAGTATAAGCCTTCTATGAGTATTTTAATTTCTATGGAATAAATCCCTTCTTCAACAGTTAAAACACCTGTAAATTGATTTATTGCTAGAAGTTTTATACTAATGCTGAAAAAGTGCCTAGTTTAATTGGGAAGAAACCCTTTATTTTAGGGAATGAACACTACTCTCTGAGCTCACTTGTTCTTGCAGCACACCATTTTTATTGTCCACCTGACTCTGTTTCTCTTCRCAGGTCAAAGTTGCAATCCTAAAATACATAGAAACTCTTGCGCAACAGATGGATCCAGGAGATTTTGTAAATTCAAGTGAAACTAGGTTAGCAGTGTCTCGAATCATCACTTGGACAACAGAACCTAAAAGCTCAGATGTTAGGAAGGTAAGTTTGTTAATGTGTCCTTAGAATTGCAAAACATTTCAAGTAATTAAGACTATTTAAGTAAAAATTTTAAATTAACAAATCTTGAAACTCTCCATTATGTTTGTGRTTTTGTCTCCATTATGTATCGTTCTTTATTGCAAGTACTGTCTAGTACTAAAATCTCTTTAAGGGCTATTTTTTGTGCAGTTTTAATGCTACTTCAGAGACCACCCTCTGTGATACTAAATAGCACATTCGCTACAAGAATGAGTGGTAAATTTGGTAGCAAACTAAATCTAATCTCTGTTGGATTTTCTGGAATCCTTTATTTTTAACAAAAGGTAGTTTGATARCTGTTGTACCTTGGACAAAGAAAATTTGTGCTTTGATATCGTAATATCAAAGGCTTGTTCTTGTAATGCAGCAATTCCAGTGCAAACGTCCCTTTTCCACATAACGTTGTGAAAATTTATATTTGTGAGCTACACAGATATACCACAGATACTAAATAAACATAAGAGATTTACTAATGCAGTACATTTCTTTGGAAGGGGTTTCTAAACAGTACTTCAATTTATAGAAAGAAAAAAATCTTTTAATTTTATTTGCAGTTCAGTGGAACAGAGTTTTGTTGTTCTGATGATTACTGGCCATTCTGTCATAGCTACCCTTTTCAGCATGTTAACACTAAATAAATGCATTAACTTTTGTGCTTCCTCAGTGCAAGTGTCTTTGACACCAGAGAACTAACTCCTCTCTGTGTTCTTTGCTATTTTTTTTTATTATTTTTGCAGTTAGAAAAGCTACAACAATTCATTTCTTTAGATTTGTTTTGCTGTTTTCAATTAAGTTTGAGTCTCAGCAGCTTCATCTTTTCTGTAAAGAGCAATTCCTTTGTTTAGGAAGGATGTAGGAGAGAATAGTAAGGGCTGTCTCACAAATTGTAATGTGAAGAAAACACAAGAAGTGTTTTAGAAGTAAAAACAAGAAGTAATTTATATGACTTCCTGATATCTAGAATGTTTGTAATTTGTAATATGTAATAAAAAACACCAGAGAATTTATATTAGAGGTAGTTCTTTGGTGTTTCATTTCTTGTGTAACTTCATGAGTGTGAGAAAACAGTAATAGATTATATCCAGTGGACTTTCCTTGCCTGGGTATCATGTTCTRGTAACATATAAAAGATCATAAAACAGAAAGAGAATTGAAGCAGCATTATCTTCTCAATCAGTGAAGTTTTATTACTAAGACACGTGGCAAGCTGTCTTATCTGATAGTTCGTATCTCTAATAAGCATTTTTATGTCAATAAGTAACTGAATCGTGGAAAGAATTACCAGTGAGTTTAATCAACTGGAACACCTTATTTATGTAAGTTTTTTCATCTTATTTTTTCTTTCCATGACACAGTTGTTAGACAACTAACTGCAAAAATCCTTTAACTTTTGAAAATAAAATTTGACCAGTAAGAAATCAAAAGAGTTATAGTATAAAATGTTAAATTCTCTTAACAGTCTTCTCAACCAAAAAATCACAGGATTTTTTATTTAGTTGGTTTAATAAGCATAAGTTTAATGCTTTGGTCATTTAGTATGATTTCTTGAAATTAAAAGCTTTTTCCAAGTAATTTCTGTGTAATTTCTGGGTTTGTTTTTTTTTCTCTAGTAAAAACAGTTCCAGTACTAAGTATTATGAAAAATCCTAGTTTATTAGTCTGAAATTGGTCACTTTTAGTGTAGTTCAGTGACATAGGATTTCTTTCTGGAAGATAAGTTCTGTTTCAGAATTTAGATTTCTTCTAAGATTACAATGTTTCTGGAAAGAGTTTGAATCTATTCTTAGAGTTTTTCTAAGAAGAAAGCAAAACCCAATAAATAGTTCTCATCCTTACTACAGTCTTCTTAAGATGATTTCTGTGTGACTGAATTTAAATYTCAGGAGAGACCTTATGCTGGAGAGAATAAAAACTTCCAAATGCTCTAAAATGTGGGATTTCTTTGGCAAGGAAGAAAAAGAATATTGATAATTGCATAGTTGGAAACCTGCAAGTCAGGTTTGATACTTTAGGCAGAGCTTCATTTTGGGCAGACTTGATGGTATCAGTTTTTATCCTGATACGATCATGGATTGCCTATTGTGTTCCTTTATTAGCAGCTTAAATAATCACAGTATTAAGGAGTGGAGATTGGGTAACYGGACAAAAAAATGAAAGTGGTGATTCCCAAACCTTTGCTCAGCTGCTGGATTTGTCTTGATTTTGCTCTAAGYCAGTTTTGATTGAAAAGACTGACCCTTAAAAATAACAAGGACAAGAGAAACATCAAAGATTGCAGAGGACGTTCAGAGTGATCAGTTGAAGGGAAGGCTATCAGAGGGAGAAGGAAATAAAAGTTAAAGAAAACAACCAGTCATGAGTATGCRAAGACAATTTGTGGCAATCTGACATGCTAGAATTTATGTCGTTAAACTTAATACTGACATGTGTGCAGGTATGTGTGCTCATACCTTGGCTTTCCACTGTTAATTAAAAAGTGCTACAGTTCATTGCTCTGGAAGCAAAARGAGGAAAATAAATGTCTAAAAGAATTTTCTAAACTACTTGCTTGGAGTATGTTGGTGGTTAAGCAAGCTGCCTGTCATTCTGTCTAGCATGAAGCACTGGTTCTCTCCAGTGTRTGGCAGACCTTGATGGTGAGCTGTATAAACTACACATAGTTAATCGTACAATCACAGTCTTGTACTGCAAAGAAGCTGTTAATCCTGGCAAACTTCCTCCAGCTCTCCTTCGCACTTGTTAGTTTAGTTACTATTTTGACAGGTTTGTTACACTATCCAGTGCATCTTCSTCAGACTGCAAACGTTACTTACGTCATTCAATCAACATTGCTGTAGTAGAGAGAATCCAACTATTGCATAACTGTGTTGCTTTGTCAGTAGAGAGTGCTGATTTTTTTTTCAAGTTAAAAAAACCCCAACTTATGTAGTAAAGCATGCTGTAGGATGAACTGATTAAATTGAGAGTATGGACAGTGACATCCAGTACAAACTACTTGACAGCTTTCATCTTCAGAATATGTAGTCAGCTAGATTTCATTGCCCATTGTGTTTGCCTACCTTTTAGAAAGGTTAAAGGAAGCAGAGGCAAGGTTAGTTAACTAACTTGGCTGTAGGGTAAGTTGTAAGGAGTATCAGGTGCTGTGATCACTACCATCTCATTCCAAATTAGGCTGTCTTGTTTGGTGTGCTTTAATTTCTGCAGTGCTAACTGTTCCTTTTCAAGCAAGTATTTTCATTATCATCTGTAATTACCACTTGCAGAAGTCAATAGAAGGGATCATATGCTTGCTCCTGCCTGGTGTGTTTAGTTTCTCTCTAAATGTTTTCAACTTCCCAAACCCTTTAAAAGCCACTTTACAAACTCCTTTTTTTTTTTTTTTTTTTTTCTGAGTAAGGATCTGGGGCTAGGGGAGTTGAATGCGAGATTGCTGGTTACAATGATTGTTGCGTGCCTGAAATTATCAAAATCAGAACTTCCAGCTTACCAGCAAATAAGAATTGCTTTTGCTCACATCTGTTAACATTGTTCAAGCTTGATGAAGATATGTCACATTTTGTGATTGCCACTCATTGTAGCATCTCTTGCTGATAAAATTACTTTGAAACTGTAATTAATATCTTCAGTTTGTGTTTTTTCTTGTAGGCTGCACAGTCAGTGCTGATTTCCCTTTTTGAACTCAACACTCCAGAGTTTACAATGCTATTGGGTGCTTTACCAAAAACATTTCAGGATGGAGCCACAAAGCTTCTCCATAATCATCTCCGGAATACAGGCAACAGTGGTCAGGTATCCAGACTTCTGTTACTTCTCTTTCTGAAGTTACTGTGTAGAAACATATATTAATAGCTCTGTATGGAATGCTTTTATTTTTTTTCCCTCTAGAGTTACAGTTTCTAAATCTATGTTGCTTGCAAGTGGCTTAACAGGCTTGAATGTGTTTAAGAGTAGTTTATCTTGTACTTCGTAATTTCAGAGTTACACWGGATTGAATTTACTAGTAATGGGTTAGGCAATCCAGAAATTTACTTAAAGCTCTTCAAATGTTTCTGGGCACCAAAAAAATAAATATAATAGTAAGTTAAAAGGGAAGCTTGTAGTTCTRCTGGAGTATCTCTTCTCACCTCTCCTCCTCCAGGGATCGATGGGAAGTCCTTTAACAAGACCTACTCCACGCTCCCCAGCAAGTTGGTCAAGCCCTCTCACTTCCCCAACCAACACATCACAGAACACGTTGTCACCAAGGTAATGTAGGCTGGGTACAATTCTGCATCTAAGAAGTTGCAAACCCAACAATAAAAGCATGGAGAAAATTTTGCACAAAATGACAGATGCACAAAAATAATCCCCCATCCACCACAGAATGACAGTGAACTGCTTAGCCTCCATGAGGGATCTGACAAAGCTGGCCTGAGGTGGGAAAGGGCTGTGCATCTTGGAATGCAAATGGATTAGGCATGAGGAGGAACCAAAGTGTGCTTCTCTAAGTGTGTGGGATGGGGGGACAATCRGAGTATGAAAGAGAGAAAACTGAGATAAAGACAGTTTAATGGATAAAGCAAAAGCTGTGTGTGCAAGCGACAGAAAACAAGGAATTCACCACTTCCAGWGGAGGGCCAGGTGTCCAGCTGTCCCCACGAGAGCAGGGCCCCATCACTTGTAACAGTGACTTGGAAAGGCAAACATCRTAACTCCAAATGTCCTTCCCTTTCCTCCTTCTTCCCTYAGTGACATATGCTTAGATCATGATGCCATATGGTATGGAATATCGCTTTGGTTWGTGGGGTCAGCTGTCCCAGCTGTGTCCCCTTCCAAMTCCTTGTGCACCYCCAGTCCACTCACCTCTGGGGCTGTGAGGARCAGAAAAGACCTTGGCTTAGTGTAAGCACTGCTCAGCTGTTATTTAAATACCCCGTGTTATCAGCTGTGTTTCCAGCACAAATCCAAAGCATATCATAATCCCATACCAGCTACTGTGAAGAAAGTTGYATCTATCCCAGCCAAAACCAGCACACTGGGTCATCAAACCAGATTTAGTATTGGGGGACTAAAGAAATAATAGTTTATAAATGTTTTTTATAGTACGGATGTTGTGAGCAAAGTGGACTTCGTAATTTTGCTTTTACCAGTCAGCTTGCTGTTGAGTTTTATCAGGGCTTCTTAMTTCAGGACTCTTTTCAGAATGGGAGGATGGTGTAAAAATTCCAGTTGTTTAACATTCAGCAGAATAAAACAGAGCAAAAGARGTTTGTTTCTTCAGGCAGATGCTGTTACTTGATGCAGCTTTTCCCTTAGCTCTTTAGTACTCTCTATGCCAGTGGCAGTACACTTACCAAGGCATACCATAACACAGTTTTATATTATGAAGAGACAATATGTTTCAAGAAAAGTAATAATTTTAGTAATATTTCTTGAGTCTCTGTASTTGCCTGCTAATGTGATTTAAAAATACAGAATCACAAAATAAATCCATCTTAATTCTTACGTTCTCCTTGGCCCACAGTGCATTTGACTATGACACTGAAAATATGAATTCTGAAGATATTTATAGCTCTCTTCGTGGAGTCACGGAAGCCATTCAGAATTTCAGTTTTCGTAGTCAGGAAGATATGAATGAGCCTGTGAAACGAGATGCTAAAAAAGATGATGGCGATTCGGTGAGTACTTCAACTCAGTGTGTCGTGGTATCAGCAAACGAAGACAGTGTCTGATTGATTACAGATGAGAAAGCATCTGTTCCAGGAGGTTTATATTCTTCTGAAATTGGACATTTTTCCTGAATTACTTAAGAGTAATTTAGCAATATTTAGAGTATTTAGAAAAATATGTTCCTTGAACCACATTTTGAAAATGTAGGTGTTAATTTTAAGTAGCGCTGCCTGTTTGTTTAACATGTTAGCAGTTTATAAAAACCAGTGATCTTGCAAAACAGTTGCAATTAAATTTTTGAGACGTTTGCACCCGGATATATATTTTTTAAGTGTTTTATTTTCTTTTATTTTGTACAAAACCTGTGGGCTCTTAAGTACTACATGCAGTATTTAAGAATTCTGTTTCTATGGAACTTTGGCTTTAGGATTTRTTGAACTTAGCACATATGTACATGCTTAAACACATTTTTAATTACTTATCTTACAAGCATCAGGCTTGTAAGATAAAATACAACTGTTACTTGTTTATGATTTTTTTGATGATGCAGACTTTGTCTTTTTTTGTTCTTTTAAAGAAAGCAAAGTTTAGGGAACTAAGACTTCTTATTTGAAGGCTAGTTTAAAAATTTTAAGCATTCTGCAATTTGCAAGTTTTTGCTATGTAARTGAATTAGTGATGTAGTTAACTGAAAGATGTGTTTATTTCATATGCTCATGTGATGCTTCCTCTCCTGCAGATTTGCAGTGCTTCTGGAATAGTTGACATGCGAGCAGGAAGTGGTGTGAGCGACACAGGTCGGACAGCTCTGGATAACAAAACATCATTACTCAACACGATGCCTCCCCACTCCTCACCACGCTCACGGGATTACAACCCATACAACTATTCTGACGGTATCAGTCCATTTAATAAATCTGCTTTGAAAGAAGCCATGTTTGATGATGATGCAGAGCAGTTTCCTGATGGTAAGATTCAGGTTACATTCTGTGCTAGAAGAAAAACGATGAGATGTTCTATCTTCAAGTTCAGTTTCTCMGTCTATTATTAGGAACATATATATTACTTCTTTGAGAAGTTTTTACAAATACTGTATTTTGAATTAGTTTATTTGTTAGTCATCTCTTTAAGTTACATMKTTGGATTACCTGGTATTTGTAGAGACTAAGGGTAAAAATTAAGGAAATGCTGAACTATGTTGTATACTTCTGGTATTGCCAGTATAAATTKACTTATCAGATTGTTTTAAGATTGAAATTTAAAGGGGTAGGGCAGAGAGAAGATTTACAGCAAGGAAGTAAAAKTGGATCAAACCAGTTTGGGAATTGGGTGAAAGATTAAGTATTTTGTTAGTAATGTATTTTTATTTGAAACATTACATTGGCATTTTATATTGACTAAACATTCTTTTTAAACGAAACAAAACAAACAGGCTTTTTACCAGGAAGGTGGTTCATCTAACCCGTTTAAATCTAGGGATGTGGGCTGCTGTTCTGTAGGCTTCTAGGGCCTCTTTGTAATATATCTCAGTATATCTTCGGGTAATTTTTTATATCTTTATGTTGGGAAGGTTCCAAAGTACCACTACTGTCATTATTTTAATGAATAGTCAGTGGTTCTCATAATCAGTATTCATTGTTGTTCAGCTACAGATTTAAGTTTTTAAGTAAACACTTTTCTTAAGAGCAGGRGACAGCTTCTGCCCATTTTGCTTTTGTCATCGTGCAAAGATGTGTTACAGAAACAGTTAAAAACGAAGTTATTTTTTGACATGATGTTTTATTCAGCTATTCTGTAAGTTGCTTTAAGTTTGCATTTAGTCAAAAACAAATCCAAGTGTGGTGCATTTCTCTTTTTTTTTTTCCTACATATCATAAAGAAGCATATAGGGTAGCCAATTATTATCTTCTGAAAAAGACTGAGGGGAAAGCAGATTTTTACAAATCATGTCATGTACATATTAATAATTAAACAGCTTTGCCATCCCCATACAGAGCCAGTTTACATTAAAGATTTTGTGTTAAGGGATTTTGTCAAACATGGGAGAAGCCTCCTTCTGTCTTCTGACAACCTTTTTTTGGCTATTCCATTAAACCAGATGCAGTCAGTGCTGTGCCAGCATGATCCACTCATGACTAGCTGGAATGAAGCATCCTGTCCCATATTAGTTTGTCCTGGTTGGAAGAGTAGTGCAATACATTATTTAGGTCTGCTCTTTAGCRGATCTTAATGAACTGCTTGCTTTCATTCCTGTGTTGTTCACCCTTAGTATTTAGTTATATCATGTACAATCTTTCATTTGTGTGTTACTTTTAGAATTTCATCTGAGATAACTTAAAAGTCTTCATTAGAAAGGCTACACTTGGAAAAATACTTTGTGCCTACAGGTCCCCTGTTGGGAGTTACACACTTACCCCATAAAGTGGAAGGGCTCCTTGGACTTTAGATTACAGTTTTCAGAAACTCCACAGAATTACTGCTTGTTAATGACACAGAATTATGTTAGTACTGGATTCTCAGCTATCCTGTCACATATTGCTGGAAGAAAGATGTGGAAATACAAGGGTAGATGGGAAAACTTTTGCTGCTCATATTCCTGTCAGCAGCACTGGGGCATGAACATCTATTCAGCAGAAGGTTTGTGTAGCACTTGAAAATTTTCAGTCGAGGAGATGTCACAGTGTGCYGCACATGACTCACATTTTGCCTCTCTTACAGTAAAAAGGTTTTCAGAGTAACAGCCTAAATCTTCCAACCACTTTGTTTTTTCCCAGAGGGAAATGCTCTTTATCTGATGCATAGGGGAACCTGGCTCACTAAATCATTTCCAGTCTCTTTAAAAGCAGTTCAGAGTCTCTATTTGAAAAACAGTGTTCTTCTCCAAAGAAGCTTATTTATTTCAGCTTACCTCCATGGATTGCACTTTCCAMACATCTTCCTTTTTACCTGCCAGTTTGTATGTGGGCCTAAGATTTCTGCTTCTGTGTCTTGCTTTCTGTTTGGCATGTTTTCTCTTTTAAACCATTCCTTTGATGTACATGGTAATTTTCACTTCTTTCCCTGTTTCTCCAGAATGTTTGCAATTAAACTGCAATTGCTCTGAAAGTGATGTCATCTACTGATTTTCTAAATTGCCTCAGCATTCCCTAGATAGTACTAATAAATGCATCCAACAGATCCGAGCARGGACATCGCTCATATCCTCCTGGATTAATAAAAAGCCATTTATAGTCCAGTCACCCGGCAAGTGATTGATCAAGTTTTGCACTTCGTTTGCTCTTTTGGCCATCATGTTTGCATAGCTTTTAAATTAAGATCCTGTGAGTGGYAGTAGGAAAGTCTTTCCTAAATTCAGGACATAACTGCATGTTTCCTTTTAACCCCTACACTGTTTATCTTGTCAAAAGAATATTATTTGATTAGTTWGAGAAGAGCAGTTCATCAAATATTTATCGCTAATGCATATTTTAATTCATTCAAATGAAGGAGTTGGATCTGCTCCTCTTCATTTGTATTTTGTTTCTTTTSTGAAAAAGAAATTTTGAAAGTAGACTTTAAACATGGCTTCTTTTATGCTTCTCCATTCTTATCTGGAGACTGTTTAGAAATGAAACACTGGGTGCTAAGTCATACAAAGGAATGGAAAATGCAAGCTGTAAAGGCACACCCTCTTGGTTATCTTTATGCTTATTTTTCAGCTATTTAGTCCATTACTGGAGATTCTTTCCTCATTCCTGCATGGACATGGCTACTATCTTCCCCTCTCTTTACCCCTTCCCTCCATATATTTAAGATGACACCACAATGAAAATACTTCATTTAAACAGATATGAGTAGTTTTGCTGATTAAGTGTCAATATGCATTCCCTGGAAAAGGATTTGCTATAGCTGTAATCTGTCGGTAAGAACAAAAGTAATAATTCTGGCAGTAAAAGTAATGATCTTGCTTCCATTAAAATGATTGTCCATTCTGCTCATCTGCTTTAAATAATAACTCACCTAATGCWATTTCAGTCTGCCCCTTAGTCAAACATTAATCATCTATTGATACTGAGGCAGCAGAAGTGTTAGCAGTTTGCTTTCAGGTGCTCCTGCTCCTGTTTATTCATGCAAAACAGAATGCAAATAGGAATGTGGCATTCAAAACCAGCATKATTTTTACAGTAACTGATGTGTGATACTAAGATATTTAATCCTGTGGTATTTAGCTTTTACTGTTTTTTTTGTACAAGTGCTTTATGCAGTATCTGTAAGTTACAGTGTTGAATATAGTAATACAAGATGTTGAATGGCTGTGGTTTCTCAGTATGTGATATAATTAATTTGTTACGAAGGATGTGTTTCATGTGTTAGTTAATACATGTAGGCATTTCAGGAAAGGTGCAATGCATTTGCATTTTATGACAGAACTTCCTAACGTTTTCCATAAAAAAAAATGTGTCTAASTTCTGTTAATTTATCCAGAAGTTTCAGTGAAAAAATGGAATCTATATGCTTTTCTTTCTTAAGGTCTAAATGGGTCTCGATGATGGAATAAAAGCTACCTTTATGGAAAAAGGAAAATACTCAAGTTTTCATTAAGGCCATATTTAAGTTGCTTGACTGTTTGCAGATAGCTCTGTTTGCAGTCCAGTGTTTACAAATGTAGGTTGTGTTACTAATGTGTTTTTCCATCATCACAGAATCCTATCTAATCGAAACTAAAATCCAGAGCCATCTCATAATGAATTGCTGGTGGGAATACATATGGGACTAGTAGATCTGGTTGCCTTTATTTCAGCTTTTTGTACCGAGAACCATTGTTGTACTTTCCCCATCCCACCATTTGTTTTAGCAGCCTGGCTATTCTTGTGGAATCATGGCTTACAAAGGTCTGAACAATTCTGTAATACTAACAGAGAAAAGAAAATTTTTCATCTTGAGTGGYAGGGACATATGGGAAAAATGGCATGTGGTGTTTAGATCAGATTTAAAAGGATGCACAGAATACTTAGTGGGTACTACAAACCTAAAAAYTCCTGCAGTAGAGTAGCCTGCAAGGGGCTTTTTGCAAAATCATTGTAGGRTTTTTTTGGTGATTGTAAACTTATTCAGCAGTGCTGGCTGCACTGAAAATGTAGTAGCCAAACTGCCATTTTGCAGGCAAACCAAAAAAGAATGCTAGAARGCGAGCAAGTCATATTGGAAAATACCTTCAGTTGTGCAACAGGCACTAATATTTATTTGCAATAATCAGAGAACTGTGTTTGTGCATTCCTGTTTGACAGAGCCCCCCATGGACCATTCAGATCTGGTTGCAGAGCTACTGAAAGAGTTATCAAACCATAATGAGAGAGTTGAGGAAAGAAAGGCTGCCCTGTACGAGCTCATGAAGTTAACTCAGGAAGAGTCTTTTGCTGTTTGGGATGAGCACTTCAAAACAATATTACTTCTACTGCTTGAAACGCTTGGAGACAAAGAGGTAAATTCAGGTTAATCCAGTTAAGAATGTTAACAAAGCACGACTTATTTTCAGTACCTTTGACATTTGTATGTATTGTAGMAAAGGCACAAATTCCAGGTAGTGGTGGAAAAATAAAAAATCGTGGAAATACAAAAGTGTCATGAAGTCTGACTGCTACGGTGGTGAAAAGGGCATCACTGATACTTACCATCTCCAGGATTCTGATTTTTGGATTCTGACACAGTAGATTGAATGAAGCGTTTTTTTCACTGGGATTCAAAGCATATCTGTTTCTGGCCCCTGAAGGAATCTAGAATATCTAAACGTCATGTGTGGCAAAGCATTAAAACATTTATTTCTAAAATACAGTAATGTAATTGTGAAGAGACTGAGTTCTGTGTAATTGTTCTCTATAAAAGTCATGTTTTTGAACTTACTGAGGATCAAAAAGGCATCAGTACTTGTGTTTGATTTTTAAAACAATTGTAAAAAAAAAAAGGTAAAAAACTTGATTGTATGATGATTTAATCAGCCCTTGTGATAGCAACTTAACTTCTGGGTAGCACAGATAAGTCAAAGTAGTTTTGCAGTGTGTTTATGATAGGCCACCTGAATTTTCTGCAAAAAGACGGATTAAAGAGATCTTTTTTCTACCTTTATTAGTTAACACTAGGTTCAGACTGTATATGTATGCAGAGCATAATCTGGTATTTTTTTGCATTTTTGAAGACTTTTCCAGCAGCTGAACAAATGTTAAAGCATATGTCTTGTTTAAAGATGCATAACTCATTTATTTTATTATTGAATYTTTAGCATGCAATTAGAGCTTTGGCACTGAAAGTCCTAAGAGAAATTCTAAGAAACCAGCCAGCAAGGTTTAAGAATTATGCAGAACTTACAATCATGAAGACACTAGAAGCTCATAAGGACCCTCATAAGGAGGTCAGTAMTCAGTTATTTTATTTGTGCAAGGTTACAACAGATTATTACAAAATRAAAGAGCWGTCCATAAAATGTGAAATTAGYYAGTTCTTACTGAGGAASTAATTTGTTTAATAACAAGCATAATATTATACGTTTAATAACAGGGATGTTACTATTTAACATGGGTATGCAAGAAAACATGCCCTGCAGTTCTTAAAGCTCTTGAATGGTTAATACCATCCCTTAAAACAACTGCCTTGTGTGCCATCCCAGAGGACAGAGTAACCAACAGTGTGTCACCATAGCTCTTCAAGGAATAACTTCATGGCACTTTTTCCTTTTTTGACATCTTAAGCCGAATAGTGGTATCCTTGAGATCTAAAACAAGCATTTGGATTTCATTAAGGTTTATGGTTGAGAGATGAGACTGTTCATGACAAGGAATTGACAACCTGTTCCATTCTGCATTGGAGAGCGTGGCTTTGAATGGTGTTGGTGGAAAATACACAGAAATGTATCAATGGGAGAGGTGCTTGTGCCAGGAATGGTGAGGGGATTCAGAAGGAGAAGGGCAAATGGAACCTTGCTCGGAGTTATTTGCAATGCCTGCATACACAATAAAGGATAATGCATGTAAATGTAGGAAACAGAAATGCARTAACCACCCCACTATTCAACTTCTGACATCGATGTTACTGATGCTATGGAAAGAATCCAGGTTTATTACTAAATGAGTACATCTTCCTGATGCAAGGGCACTTYGTGGAATTTACTGTGGAGTTTAAGGCTTTGAAGTTGGCTGTGATTTCTCCCATCCCATGAATTCATCACTCATTTAATAGTTGTTTTCTCTTTTCCCTGTGCTTTCTGAATTTGTTTCATACACTGTATTTATTACAGTGTCATTTCCCCATMGTTCCCTCTCTATTCCTGTGCTTTTTCTCTCTCATGGTTTTGTGTGTTATGACTGAGCAAATAGAGGGGACAAGGGTGGAGAGGAAGTTCAGGATGTTTTTGTACATTACTGGGGTATAACCACTCATTCTGTACATTTGTTTCTCTTGTTAGATGGCAGGTGCCACCACAGTGCTGATATGAAGATCAGATGCTAATTTTCTCTGTTGTGCCCATGTTGTGTTTTGAGCTGTACCTGTTATTTCTACCTGATTACTCTTGTTCTGCTTGTTCTGTGTGTTCTTCAGGCTCTCTTGTTTCTTTCAAAATTACAGGGGAAGAAGCTAGATTGGCTTCTATAATTACTAATCTAGGCATGACTTTGAAATGGATGTGAAAACATGTTTTATTCGTGATCACTTACCTAACAAGCAATAACAATRACAATACAAGAAATTACAGGACTCAAAGGGTGGTGATATTTCAAGATCTAGTTGGAGGGTATTGCAGAATAAAGGAGTTTCAGATGCTGTTAAACAAGCAGGTTTGAAAAATTGATATGTGTATTGCCAAGGCATAGTAGCTACAGAATATTGGGAAGAGTTATGTTTTTAAGAAATTATGTTCAGCCGTTGGAATCAATTGACTTTTTCATATTTCTGTAATATTGTAGAACTCTTGATAGGAAATTTTTATGCTCAAGACCATTGCTGCCAGAAAACAGACCATGCTGCCAGCAAACAGACCACAGTGTAACAGTCTATGATAAATCATTTTTCTGTGTCATTTTCTTTCAATAGGTGGTGAGATCTGCTGAAGAAGCTGCTTCCATGCTGGCCACTTCCATTAGCCCAGATCAGTGCATTAAAGTTCTCTGTCCAATTATCCAAACAGCAGATTACCCCATTAATCTGGCTGCAATCAAAATGCAGACAAAAGTTATAGAAAGAGTATCTAAAGAAACCCTTACTCAGCTTTTACCAGAGATTGTGCCAGGTCTAATACAGGTAAGGAGAGAAGAAAGAAGAAAACGGGGGGAAAAAAGACCAAAACAGGATAACAAAAAGGAAGTTTTACAATATATGAATTGCAAAGACTTTTAAAAAATATCACTTGGTTCTCATGAAGGATTTCACTTGTCTGATGCTTGCTGCCTTGACCCAAAATACCGTAGATAATGAGWACAATGTCTTTGATTAACAGGTGGCTAAATTATTACCCTGATTAGGACTCAAAAGAAATCTCAGTAGGATATGAAGTACTGGTTATAGATGAGCTTGGTAGATACTTTTAGTTATAAGATTGTATTTTGTTGTTTGTACCTTTTTCCAAGTTGCATAATTTGGTTTGATATTGTCCRTGTTGTATTTGTGTGTAATTGTACAGTTTTATTGGTTGAGGTTTGTGGGAAGCAAGAGGAAAGAAGCAGTTTTATAAAGCTGAATAAAATTAGAAGGCKATCAGATGTTTCTCTTCCTTTATCTTTAAAACTGATTTTTTTTTACCACCTTGTCAAAGAGCCAAAACACATCAATTTCCTTCTGATGGATAAACACTTTTGGGAGCTGGCAGCTGCCTTTAATGGGTGTGATCCAGTCTTGCATCTGWAGGAAAATAGAGTCAGAGAAGGGGCCCTCTGGGAAAGGAGTGTGAGAGAGACAGCCAGGTCTGAGGTGGTAGAAAAATGGCAGAAGAAAAAGAAAATCATTAAAGAATGAGTTGGGAGTTAACAAAAGAATCTCAAGCTGTTAAGAGAGTTCTTTCAGAGTCAGGAAGGTCTAAATTGTGAGTGGTGTTCTGCTTTAAGTAAACACCTGTATAATCTAGAACAGTTCTTTTATGTGCTTGYCTGTTGCATGGCAGCAGCTCTGTTTTCAGTGTAACTTATGAACAGGATTGTGTGGGTTTTAAGTTCAGCYTGGAAAATGATTATCAGTGGTGATTAATAAGCAGCCTGCTTTTTAACTGCATGCTCTGTGTTTGTGTGTTTGTGTTTTTGTTGGAATGCTCCGTTGGGCTACACKGGTATTAATTTACCATAGACTTCAATGCATTTCTTACAGTAAATAAGTAAATMGTTTTCTGAGGCTTTTAATCATTAACTGATAAGGTATTGATGTTAATTTTATTGCTTTCTAGGGTTATGATAATTCAGAGAGCAGCGTTCGTAAGGCATGTGTTTTCTGCCTTGTAGCCATTCATGCAGTAATTGGTGATGAACTAAAACCACATCTCAGTCAACTCACTGGCAGTAAAGTAAGTAAAAGATACCATTTAAAGAAATCTTGGCTCATAATTGCATCTATGCATTTGCRTTTTGGATGTCATTGCCAGAAGGTTTCAATAAAGTATATGTTTAGAGGATAATATCAGTCATATTAATACAACTTCGCCATAAAATATTCAAAACTTAAAGAGTCAACATATCTTTATTTATGCAAGTTTACARATTTTAGCAGTAAGGTAATTACTRAMCTATGTTCCTTACTGCTTTTTAATRCTGTATTCAGCAGGCTTTTCCTATTGGTGTTTCTTGGCTTATTTTCATGCAAGTTTTGATTGGAAAACAAGGAACATAGTATGTCCACATTACATGCAGCACTTTCATTTATTATTCTACCTTGTTATTTGCTTTCACCAGTTTTTGCAGTACCTCTGATTTAAAATAATAATAACCAGTCTGTGATCCTTTTTGTTTCAGGATATTTATGACTTTATTGACATCTTTTTCATGCAGTTTTTTGCATGTAAACAGCTATATGTTAATTGTGAATCTCTTTGTCYTTGGGAATAAAACAGGACAATTAATTTTGTGTGTCTCTGAATAAGACAGTTCTAYCTTTAAAATAGTYTCTGTCAGTGATTGTATTTTAAGTRACTCTAGATATTGGAAGCTTTAGTAAGTACCGGCATCAGCAACTGACTAGAGAATTAAACCTCAACATTAACTTAAAAGAAAAAAAGTCCGAACCACTACCATATYTAGAAAAGCATTGTAATTTGAGGAAAATATTCCATTCACCTTAATCCAGCTGTGTATCATCCTCTTCTTTACATCCTTGGAGAAGCTTGAGCAGTTTTCCTTGTGACAGATTTTACTTGTGTTTGATGTTTTCATTGGCATGTRTGTTCCTTTTGAATCAATTGTGTAAAATGCAATTTTGCTTTTTTGGGGAAAAAAAAAAGGATTAATGTCTATCTTGTACCATTCCTGCAGTCAATCTGTACAGTTTGCAAATACTAAACAGTGTTTATTTCTGACTTAAATTTGCAGATGAAATTATTGAACCTYTACATTAAACGTGCGCAAACAGGCTCTGGAGCAGGGGACACAGCAGCAGATATATCTGGACAAAGCTAATGAAGCTGACAAGAGTTAACCAGGTCTCTTAAAGCAAGGGCAAGGCCCTCTTCRGTGAAAGGAAAATCCTTACATACAACTTCTGGAACTTTTTTCTTGTTTTGTTTTTCCTCCCCCCTCTTTTGTTATTTTTTTTTTGTTTGGGGTTTTGTTTTCTTTCTTTAACCAATGGCTGTCCTCAGCCTGCATGAGACTGTYGCAATAGAATTATTCCAAATCTAAGGAAAAACAGTATTAACATCAGTTGATCAAAGCAGAATAAAATTTTAAAATAATCTTACCCATCAGTTACCCTGTTCATAATCCTCTGTGTCTTCCCATTAACTTTTGCCAGTGTTACTGTATTAAAAAAACGATTTTTTTAATGCTAATTAAAAAGGTATGCTTTAAGCTTCAGAAGTTAAAATACAGATTCTGTTGCTTTTCTCCAGCTGCAGATAACATTACTTTATTATTGCTGTTTTGTTTGAGTATCATGTCCTTCGCTAGAAACAAGAAGTGATGTGAAACAAGGCTGAACTAGTCTGAACTGCAGTGAGACTCATTCACTGTGTTGATGGTTCATCATCTTATTTACRGCTTGTTTGGGATATTCTGGAGATTGAGAAATATGCCTATAAAAAGAAAGCTGGATTGATCCAGTTCTGTCACAGTGATATTGTTCATTGGTTGTATGTTTGTTGCATAAATAAGAATTTAGTGTGCGCAGTGGAGGATTGGTACAACCAGTACCTCTTAATGTGGAAGACAGCCCTGCCAGGGCATCATTGCCGACCTGGTGATAGTGTGGCAGCCTGCTGGTGAGCAGCAGAGTTCATGGTCATTTGATGGATGTGAACCATCCTTGTCACCTTKCGTTCTTCAAGCAGGATGCTTCAGAATGGAGTGCTCTGCCCAAGCATGCTCAGTATGTATTTATCTTTATCACTAGAATGTTTCCTCTCAACCTAATTGCTGGAACAAGTAGTCTTGTATTGTAACTCACATGGGATCTTATGACAACAGTGCAGAAAACTATTTATTCCTTACCTTCTGAAAAGCACCAAGATTTTCTGCATTGAATTTAAATGGGGGGAGGGGGGAATAGTCACAAATGCTATGGATCTCGCCACCTTTTCATTTAAAGAAAAATATATATTTTGGATGAGTAGGAAAAGCTGCACCAAATTATTTGCATGGTTTTMTTGAATAGCATCCTCAAGACCCATCTGGATTAAGGTGTGGAMATGTTTCAAGGGTTTGTTTTTCCATTTTTGAGAAAGAGTTAGTATATTGTGAATAATGGTTCTTTGTATTTATGAAGTTGATAATGGAAAGAGAACAAAGATAAGTAAATGTGTCCCTAAATGTTGTCTTTTTCTTTTTTCTTTTCCTTTTTTTTTTCCTTTTTTTTCCTTTTTTTAAAATATAAGCAGCAAGCTAATTAAGTGAGAAATGGCATGAAACAGTGCCCTTCCCAGGAATAGTGGAACTTTTTTTCCTGACTTTTTTTTCCCTTTGACTGTGATATTGTCTAGTTGTAGGAAGTGTATCCTGATAAGAGAGAAAATAGTGGTGCCAAGGATGATGATCTATGCTAGGCTAAAATTCTCTCTACCTCTTCAGGGTGACTAATTTTTGACTAAGCTGCTGCATCTAGCACCAGTAGAAGAACTATCTACAGAAAAATCTTTATTTTTTTTTTCCAGATTATCACTTCATATGTATTCAAAACTCTATTCTTCAACATTGCAGCCAAATATCATAAGAAACTACTTACACACTTTACCTGCTAGGAACCCTGAAAAACAAAACTGAATAAAAAATTAAGTCAGATGCTTGTAGTTAACATGAAAGGTTGTTTTTACTTTAGTTTGAAGTGAATGCGATAGAAGGAGCTAAGATGTGGTTATTAAAGAAGCAATGCCATTGCAGAGATTTATCTGGAGGAAAAGTTGTAGAATTATATGTAAAGAATTAAAACCAAGACTGTCATAACTCGTCGCTAGCCCTTTTTAGCAGCTACATCAAGAAAATAGTATCTCCTCCTTCTTTCCTTTGTTACGTGTAACATCTTTGTTGTTTTCTACTGTTTAATTACATTGTGTATTTATAGTTCTATGCTTACCATTGTGCATATACTGGCAATAAAATGTACATAACATTACTTAAAAGATTAGCAATGTATACATTCTGGTTTTTCTGTTTTATTTGATCACATGCTATAAGAAAAATTATAAATGTGATTCATACAACATTGATTTAAAAAATTTTTATCTTAATCTTCATGTTCTGTGTGTCCAAATGATGTTTCTTTATATAGTCTTGTTGCTAAATCTGACTTGGCATWTGAGAACATGCTGTGAATATGAGTATGCAAGACGAATTTTTAAAAAATTGAATAGAATCTTTATGAACACAGTTTCCTTCATCTAGGCAGATTTCCTGTTTATTATTTCATTTATTTGTACATTATACATCGTTTACATTTTATTTTTTTAATATTTAAAAAATATTTTTCAGTCTAAAGTCTTGTAGTTTTTACATTATAATTATACAATTATACAAAAAGTCACTTAAAAAAATTGCACAAATTCTAAGCTTAATAGCCCTGTATGTTACTCCTGCATTTTGTATAGGTAATATTTCTTTTCAGAGAATCATTGCAAGATGACTGTTACTTGTCATCTTTTTGAAGATGCTATTTCATACTGAAAATATAAGTTATTGAAACATACAGTATATATTCCTGATGAAACCTAGTTTTTTTATGTGTAAACAAAAGATATGTTTTTTATCCCCTRTATGACTGAAAAATAGGTAGAGGGGAGGAAGATATTTACACGAAGTTTGTTCATCAGTTTTGCTTTTAAGCAGTCTCTAAGTGTTTTAAGCAAAGATATCCCATGTATTAAAAATCTCAATGCAATATATTTAAATGAATATTTTACTTATGATATGACTAGTTCTGTTTCCAGCAGAGATGGGGTTGCTATCTTTGTAAACAAATAGAATCTATTTATATTATGTGAAGCCATCAGAATGTAGGAATTTGGAATGAAAATTATTTCCACAGCAGCCAATTATCAGATTCACTGCATTGCTTTTTGCCTTCATTTCCTATATTATAAGTAGATATTAGCTCAGTTAAATTCAAGCAATGATTAGTCATGCCTTATGTTCCTGCTGGAGGTGATTTCTCTAATGGATTAGCATAAATATCTTGCAAAAATTAGGACAGTTATAAGTTACTGTTCTTTCAGAAAGGGTTTCTACATGTTCCTTCTAATATCCTGTGAAGATAGGTCATTGCAGTAATTTGAATACTGAAATGTAATTCTTAAAGGTTGGGTTTGAGCTTAAAAAAAAGAGGAAGGAGAAGGAAAGCTACATRCAGAATCAGGATGGGAAATGGATATTGTGGATGTCTCAGACTTGGATGTCATTTGCTTTAAAGTATTTTGAGTARCACATTATGTTCAGCTGAAGTCTTAGCAAGGAAGTTGGGATAATAAATGTAAATTGAAAGGAGAGCTGATCATGTAAATTTTCCTGAGTTGGCTTGCTTGTTTGTTTTTGAAGATAAAGGTTGGAACAGATCGAGTTGTGTTTATTATTTGTGGTCTGAGTCACAGAGCAAAAAGARCAAACATCTGTATCCTGAAACACTCAAATGTTCTTATGAGTTTCTATGCGTGTTTAAGCATTTAAGTCAATTCACAAACATACCCATGAAAAAAGTCTATTGAGAATGCAGGCTCAAGCTGCTCACAGTTAAAATTTCCAGCAAAGGAATTCAAATGCTGAATGTGACATTGTCCCTTTGAAAACAAGCATAAAAGAGAAGATAATTTTGAGGAATAAATCTGTTGAATTACACTGCGGTTACTCCCTATAGTACATGAGTGAGAATTGTTCCTGGCTGTGGTAACTTCCACTGTGTTAGGTTGGGACTTAGMAAACACAAGAGAACACAATAAACAGAAATGTGATGGGGATGAATTAGCAGTTTGGAACTGGGGGATTATCTGGAGAACAAAAACTGTTGTTTTCTCCCAATTACAACAGTAAACTGATCAGTTCTGCMATTGCACTCCACTTCCAGGTAAGATAAAAGTCAATATTCATATTATGTTCACTGAAGAAAACATCTTAAAATCTCCCCCCTACATTTTGTTTTTGAGTTTTCCAGCTCATTAAAAACATGTACTTTAAAGATTTGCTTCATAATTTGTGTTTTCTTCTTTTTTGTTAAAACACAGAAGATTTTCAGAAATGTGGGAAGTTTGAGAAACTGATTCTGTTGGTCTAGCAAAAAATCAAACTTCACTTGCTCTTTTTCTGTATTGTACTTACATTTCTATGTTTAAGTATACTTTAGGAGCTCAGAGTTTCCAACCTGCTTGGATTATCCYAGTTAAAGAAGTTTCATTATTTGTTAATAGGACTTTTAATAATGTATTTACAAAGAATTTTGCAAGCAGTGTTGAATACTGTATGATTTCTGTTGAATATAAAAATTCTGTCACTTTTCATATATTTTAGGTAGATGTAAATGATCCTAGTGGAGATACTTTGAGGGAGTAAAATTGGAAAAAATTATGGATAGTGAAACATGGAAAACATCCCTTTAGTGGAAAAAGGAACATACTTGCATGCAAATGTTTCATATCTGCTTACATTGACATCAGACAGGAGATAGAAAGGTAATAAAACTTGATCTTGGGCATCAGAGTTTTACAAGTTTTCTTTTTCAGTGTCTTCTTTCCTAGCTCATGATATTGTCCACCAGTGCTCATCTTTGGACCTCTGTAAACACATATTACTACCAGTACTGGAGATGGTTCTGCTAAATGTATGTCAGGATAAATTCAAAAGCAGTGCCTGTCTGTCCAAGGAAGACCTGTAGATTTAAATTATGCAGTAGACATTCTCAAAAGTTATCTGGACTGGTTTAGTTATTCCCTCACCATCTATTCATCTCAGCCTGTAGCAGAGCCAGCAGAATACCTGGTTGGAGCTCCCCATCTCTACTCCAGACAAATCAGATTGGGGAACAATCTCGGACTGGTCCTCCAACAGCACCCAGGGCTCACAAACTTCTGCCAGCAAATGAATAAATGTCTGTCCTGGGCTTTTGAGAGTCTGCCTGTAGCAGGGGGAGGAAATACAAGAAAACACACTGTTTCTTAGCATTATRTGTTTAGTCTGAGCAGGTATAGCTAATGTCGAGTTACCTGGGAAGATGAGGAAGCTGTTGATTTCAGCTTGGATAAGCAGCTCAGGAGCAAGCCTGTAGGGGAATGGATGTGTGTTGCATTTAAAATTGCAGATCAGCATATTTTAAAAGTAATTATATGCTRGACTGAAATAATACATTTGAAATGTAACTAACGGTGTGCAACTGCAAAATCCGGAACAATTGTCATTTCTGGCCTGTTACTTTGTGTCCTTTCAGCATGAGTTAAACTGATGCAGATGAAACTTTTACACCTTAGTAAATGTCATTATAGATGGATTCATTTTAAACAATTTCTGAGCTGTTTGATACAGCTTTTGATCTTGCAGATGACAATTGTGGCCATGTTGGCCARCTAATCAATTGAAATATTTTTCCAAGACAAAACTACCTGCTTTCCCTAAGGCGTTTTCATGCATCAGTATTTGTATAGTCTGTATCTGCCCTAGATAAGAATTCTAAATTGGATGTTGCCTGACTATTCAGTAAGTGCCAGCTTAAACTTTTTAAAACCTTACTTGAAGAGCTGGTATCATCAGACACTACTGTTTCTCAGAAATCTATTAATTAGCCACTGCTTCTTGAGTGAAGATTTTGTCGTGTTATGACGTGGAAAATGCAGGGTTGTCAAAAATATGAGGAGAAAGACATGATTATAAGATATATGCTTAATTTAACCCCTTGTAAATTGCAGCTATTGTTCTTAAAAATCCTAAAGCCCCTGTGCAGCTTGTAATGTTTTTAGGAAGGGGATTTTCTTGCAATACCCAATGTCTTGTTTTCTGCTTTGAGAATTAAGATCCTGATGTTGGAGGATTTTGTCTACGAAGCCATGCCAACCTAATGATAGAAAATGTTAGACCTTGGCAAGGTACCAAAGCTGAGCAGTAGGTAGTGAGAGGAATATGATGTGGAGGAATAAACTACAGACCAGGAACACCTTGCAGTGGAGACTTTCTTAAAAGGGACAAGACCCCATGAGGAAAGGAGCATATCCTGCTGCATTCTTTAGAAGCAGCCAAATCTATGGGGTGTGAGTTTAGTGGGGTTTTTTGGGGGGGATTTTTTTGTTGTTGTTTAGTTTTTTTGTTAGGTGGTGGGTTTTTGTTTGGGGGGGGGGGGGGGGTTGGGTTTTTTTGGGGGAACCTTATTATTGGAAGCAATTTATATTTCTCCTTTCCATATGAAGTTACTTCTCTGAGTGCCTCACTCATCAAGGAGACACTGAAGCAAGTCCAAGCACAGGGTCTGCTCCATATCTGATGTATTTCATCAGAAGGAGCTGTTGAAGCATTTAGCATGCTCAGCACTGTTACACATCCAGCAGAGTTCTGGTCAGATACCCTATGATGTGTTGACTTCTACTGRAACTTAGGAGTCTACTAAAAGTGTTCATTGTGGGTTTTCCCATTTCCCCCTTACTTTTGTTGGCAGGCATGCTTCTCAAGAGTTCTGTATCACAGAAGAAGGACTGGTGAATACAGCAGTCCTTATAGTGTTTCAGCATTCATCAGGCACAAAAAAAAAAAAACAACAAAAAACCCACATCCACAAAAAAAAAAAAACAACAAAAAACCCACATCCAAGAATCCAGATTAAAAGTGGCAGGTGGACATGAAAAGCGTGTGGGGACATTACTGTTCATCTGTTGCTGCCCTCCACAGACACAGTTCATTGCCATGCTGAGGCTGGCTGTCAGCAGTGACCCTGTACTTTGGCCACCCTCAGATGACCAGACACAGCAAAAGGACTGGGCTGGGTYAGCCTTTAGCATGTCAGGAGATGTGTGGAGAACTGCAGGTCAGTGCAGCGATGGATCACATGTGGTTACTCMTGCTTGTGGTTGTTACCCAGCACTATTGAAGTTCGCTGCAGTAGCAGTGAATGCAGTCCCACTAACAAGGTGTATAGGAGAGACAGATTGTATACTCAAAAATAGAGAGAGGGGTTTGAAATGTGTGTCAGCATCTTTCACATAGATATACCATRGATTCATAGCCCATCCAAGCCAGGAGTGTCATCTAGACGTGAATAACTCACTGTTACATGGTGATGTAAGTGAACAGGGTTGCTGGAACCTGGTTTGATAGCAGTTTTCATTCCAAAGTCACCCTGCATCAGGCAGCAACTGCTGTACAACCAAAAAGTAAAAAGACCAAATGGCATGCATCAAAATAACAATACTTCACTAAACTCTGTTTTAGAGATGAAGTATGTAGGGATTTCTTCTGCATAAATGTAAAACTTGTTATTTTAAATGAAAACTAATATTTTCAACACAACTAAAAATCATCACTGGACAGCAAAAACTTCCATTAAATAAAATATTCAGATTAGATACTGAATTCACAGTGTTTTATATTGTACCTGATAAAGCTTTTCCATGTGTCTGCAGACAATTTTCAGTTGTTCAAAGCAAAAGGGCAGAGATGTTATTCGGTCATATATAACCAGTCATGCTAACAGTATTTAAGGTCATTTGTTGTAGTTCTCAGAAGAGCAGTGAGAAAAATTATACGAGGARTCTGATCACTGCAAAAAAGATTAGCAAGTTGAGTGATGCCTTAGGAGACCTCATAATTTTGAATGCAGCTCATGRAAAAAAAATCCAATTAAATTATCAGGTACCATATGCTAAAGTACTTAACTTCAGTGCGTATCCACCCATTTGCAAAACAGGAGCCTCCCCACCTTAAATTTCAGGTTGGACTTTGCATGCCATACACAAGTCTTAGAGCAAGACATGTTTTAAATAAATAATGTTTTGTTGTTTGTGTATACAGTGTTGCTTTGCCAAGATCTCTGTACTTACTGGGCAGATCATAAAGCAAGGAAAAAAATAGCCCCTTAACAATAAACAGTACAAGGTAAAAAACTCACCTTATTTGTCCCCAAACTTGAAGGATCATGTAACCACATATCTTTATGTCTAGAGGTTAGTCAAGGGCAGCAGGTGTGGGTGTGGGGAATATACGGTGTTTCACAAGGCTAAATACCAGAATTACACATAACTTGGGAATTTCATCCTGATTTTAAAAACTGAGTTATGGTGTACTTGAAGCTGTACCCATATACTGCTTGCAACAGAGATTAGTCAAATCACAAGACTGAATAGGACAAAGAAAAGAAACACTGAATTATTACTTTGGTTTGAATAACAGCATTTTTTTCTACATGTTGTACTATATTCCATACAAGGGACTCAAAGCATCTATGACTGATAAGCCTCTTGTCAACCCTTGGAAGGAAAAAAAACCAGGCAAAATTTCCTCTTTCACAATTCTTTTGCATAGAAGTCCACAAGATTTGGTTGTGCTTTGCTTTTATACCATCAGGAGCAGTGGTCACAGCGGGATAGGG